TGGCATGGAACCCATTTCGCTCAAGGACGGCCGACTCGGAACCCAAACCCTACCCAGCTCAAGCCGGGTTTAAGCTTTTATAGGGTTTATGCGTTTGTAGGTTTGTAGGATTTATAGGTGTTACAGGATTTATAGGGTTTATGGGGTTCATAGGGTTTATGTAGAGCTTAAGATTTAGGGTCTAGGGAATTCAATAATCGCAAGGCTCCGGCTGCCCGCGATCCTGAAGTCGTTGGCCAAGACGCGGCGCACCTCCCATGATGAAGCACTTCTTAAGCGATGCCTCCTCATCGGCTTGATAGCTCAGCAAGCATGTTTTAGTATATACCCTTTTTGGGGGGTTGGTTACTCTATAAAAGAACCTAGAACCAAAAAATGGGGGGGGGGCGGCAACAGGGCACCACTCTGGGCTACCAAATTAATAGGGAGCCACCTCTCCCTGGACCTCACGCTCTCGCCCCGCTGTCACTCCATCTCTCTCAGACTACCTCTCTCTGCTTGTTCTTGTTTCTCTCTCTCCCTCTCTCCCTCTCTCTCTCTCTCTGCCTCCCCCTCCCCCTACGCTTGCCTTTCGTTACTTGATCTGCTACCTCTCTCTCTCTCTCCCGCTCACTCCTTCCATCCCTCCATGTCGGGCCACATGCTTAGACACTGCAAACTCAAGCTCGTGATTGGGAGCATTTTCCCTTGGACAGAGAACCAGAAAACAGTGCCTCTTGTAAATGGTGAGCCGGAAATCGAACTCTGAGTGAGCAGACTGACAAAGAGACAAGGGCCTCTGTGTTAAAAGCGGCCGCTTCTTCTTCTGCCTCTTCAGCCCCTGGCAGAAGTGGGCTGGCTCAACTGAAGTCCTAGGGCTTCGGAGGCATCACCACGAGTCTAAACAGGTTAAGGTTTAGGGTTTACAGCTACGGTTCACAGGGCTCATGTTTTTAGAGGGTCTGTAGGGCTCGTAGGGTTCAAAGGGCTGGCAGGGCTTATTGGGTTTAGAGGGTTTATGGGGTTCAGGGCGCGCGACAAGCTCGGAGATTCCTTTCCCGACCGCCTCGCTGCGTTCATTGGGAAGCTGCCAAGCTCCGCAACCCGAAAATCCCTCCATGCACCGCGAAGCCTGGTTAAAGTTTAGGCTTTAGGGTTTAGGGTTTAGGGATTAGGGATTTTAGGGTTTAGGGTTTGGGGTTTGGGGTTTGGGGTTTAGGGTTTAGGGTTTAGGGTTTAGGGTTCAGGGTTTAGGGTTTAGGGTTAGGCTTTAGGCTTTAGGCGTTAGGCGTTAGGCTTTAAGGCTTTAGGCTTTAGGCTTCAGGCTTTCGGCTTCAGGCTTCAGGCTTTAGGCTTTCTTTAGGCTTTGGGGTTTAAAAAAGGTTAGGGTTTAGGGTTTAGGGTTTAGGGCTTCCCGAGTTGGAGCAGACCTGGCAGGAAAATCACGACGAAAGGCTTTGCCTTTCAACAATCCGCGTCCGTTACCTCTGGGCAGGAGAGATTGCAAGGATCAGTGACTAAAACCCCCTTGCCCCCCTACAAAGAACCCTAAGTCCCCCAAAGCCCTAAAACCCTAAAGCCCTAAAGCCCTAAAGCCTAAACCCTAAACTCTAAACCCAACAAAGAACCTCGCAAACGTCCTCTTCCTGCCAGCTTCTCTCGACATGAAGAAAGCTCAGGGGACCGCCCCTGTCATACCTGCGCCAGTGTGGTAGCTGCGACCCCTAAACCCCAAACCTTACACCCTAAACGCCAACATCAATGGCAGCTGACTCAGTCTGGGGGCTTCAGGCTTCGGCTGGTGATCAGTCGAGGTCGGGCCGTGGGCGTGGGTTTAATGTTTGCTTCGGACTATCGGGCTTTCTAAGGGCTTGGGGCTGATCTTCGGGACTTTGGATCACTTGTGAGGCTGCATAGGCGCCAGGGCCCGAGCAAAGGGAAAGAGGAAGTATTCGGAGTAGAACAGGAGCCAGATGAGCCTGACCGCTGAGCCGCATGGTTCGTGGTGGTGTGTTGGGCCTTCCAGAACTGAAGAAGGACAACTACCTGATACAAGGCTCCGACCCTACTTTTCCTTCCTAAACCCTAAACCCTAAACCCCTACAATTCCCAGAATGGCGTGTAATCCCTTTAAATGCACCCCTAATGATAAAAACACGTTCCGGAAAATCCTGCCGAAACCGACCCCGCCTTTTAAACCCAATTCCGAATTACGGGGGGTGGTTCAGGCCTCCAATAAACCCCTCTAGGTTAAGGGTTTAGGGGTTAGAGTCCTTATGACATTTCGATAAGAATACCCCCTAATTATAAAAAACAGCTTTCGAATTTTCAAAAGGGGGGGGGGGGGTGGCCCCCCCGTTTAATATTAGGGGGAAGGGAGTAACACCCTAAGTTCACTTTTTGCCGCTTCTTCGATTTGGGGTTTGGGGTTTTAAGGGCTTTAGGGCTTTTAGAGTTTTTAGGGTTTTTAGGGGTTTTGGGTTTTTTTTGGATTTTTGGGGTTTAGGGTTTTAGGGTTTTAGGGTTTCGGGTTTTAGGGTTTTACGGTTTTAGGGTTTTAGGGTTTTAGGGTTTTAGGGTTTAGAGGGTTTTTTCGGGTTTGGAGACGGTAGGGTTTTAGGGCCGGTGAGGGCCCAAGGACCAAGAAGCTGCGGCCTTTCTTTTCCAACCCAACCTTAGCCGTCTAAATCCCACAACCCCCCACAAATCCGAAAGCAAACTAAGCCTGTAGCTTCGGGCGACTCATGGGGGGTGGAAGTGGCAGGTGTTGGGAGGGCTCCCCCTTGAACCCCAGAGCCTGTAGAACGCTTTCAGTCCCTCTTGGGAGAAGCTGCTCTGTCGGAGGCGCACGAGCCCACGGACCTCGTTCGCTTCAGGAGCACGTCTAAAGAGCGAGATCTTAAGCGCCGCACTATGCTTGGGTAGGTTTGGGGGCCCTAGAAAAGTCAAATGTTTACGACTGTGTAAGGGATATATAGGGGATCAAGGGTAATAACAGCAAAACATGATGTTCAAACTTACCCCTGTTGACTGAGTAGACCATATGAAGGGCTTTGGTCTACTCAGTTAAATGACTAAAGAATCCCCAAATCCCAAACCCAAACCCTAAGCCCAAGTTCAGCCCTAAAGACCTGATGGAGATCTGGACAAGGACTGGGCCAGAAGCATGGCCAGAATGGCATGTGCCGACCTGATTGCAGGTTCGTCTTCGAGGGCTTTAGGTCTTTCAGAGGTGGAGGGTTTTGGTTCTTTAGGGGGGGTGGGCTTGATTAGGGTTTTAGGGCTTTACCGGGCAGAGGCTGGAGGGCTTTAGGGGTTACGGTGTTTTTGGGGGGGTGTTAGGGCTTTATTAGGGTTTGGGGTCGAGGTTCGGGGCTGGGTGCTAGGGATTCCAAGCTCGTACCCCAAGGCTCTGCGCCCCTAAATGGGCCTAAATGGGCTCTCCTGAATATACCGCCAATAGCGCTTGCTGCTCTGTCTATTCCCTTGAGGGGGGGGGGGTTCTTGGTACACCCGAGGGTGCAACCACTTAGGGATCCGAGCTAGACCCTTTAGTCTAGACCTAATCTGTAGGTGCATCAGCTTAAGAACAGCAGAGGGTTGGGGCTTATGGTTTGTGTATAGGTTTGGTGTTTCCGGGTCCTAGACCCTATAAACCCTAACCTCTTTCCCCCTCCCCCCCCCTCCCCCCACAACAAGCGTAACACGACAGTGCCCTACCCCCAAAGCCACACAGCTATCGCTGAGGGCCATGCAGCAGTACGCGTGGCCGGAAGGCAGCACCCGCAGGGCTCGAGGTCCAGACCTGCACATACTTCGTTGGGTTCAGGGTTTAGGGTTTAGGGTTTAGGGTTTAGGGTTTAGGGTTTAGGGTTTAGGGTTTAGGGTTTAGGGTTTAGGGTTTAGGGTTGAGAGTTTCCAAAGCACCGAGACTGTTGGGACCCATACAGAGAGTTGCTGTTCAAGTAGAACTGCAGGCTCTAAGCCAAAAGCACTTGGCCTGCTTGCCACTGCTACTTCTGGGGGTGGAGCGCTGAGAGTTTCCAAGCGCCATCCGTCCAGTACCAAGGCCGATTGCGACCAGATTTGAGACAGGATTCTGCCTTAGACTGAGACGGTGGGACACTAACCATCGGATCGCACCCTGCACCCTGAACTCTACACCCCTAACCCCCTTTATTGTACCCCGACGACACAAGGGCTCGAGAACACCCAAGCCCGTCCAAAAATCAAACCTACGGCCGCCTAGTTCATTATTGGGGTTACACCTCAACTATATTGTAGTGCTGTTGGTACTGAGGTACTCCATCCTGAACCCTAAGCCCTAAGCAGCAAGCCCTTAACTGCCAGACCTTCGACGCTACACTGCCCCCACCCCCCCTGCCAGGGCTGCGCCGTAGTTGGCCAGAAGTGCGGCAGATGCGGCGGTGGCCACGGTGCCTGGAGGGAAACGACTGGAGGATTTGGCGGCTGTAGGGTTTGAGGTTTAGAGGCTTCAGCTGCTATTCGAGATGGCTTTGGAGAACTTGGGTTTCTGTGTGGGTGTCGTCTCTTCTCCGTACCTTTCTTCACTTATGAACCCCAGACACCATGAACCCACTCCCCGACCATAAACTCTAAGGGCAGAAGGCATCAGACGGCCCGAGCGCCACGGCAGGGGGACCTAAACCCTACATCCTCAACTCTATCGAAACAGTCGGGTTGAAGGGTAGCTCAGAGCATCTCTCAATGAATCGCAATGGCCTGGCCTACGCCGAATCGCGTGGCGAAGGTGTCCTTAGCAAGATGCAAGAAGGCATGCATGGTGCATAGATGCTGAGGAGAGCCCTGCACTCCCTGAGTGCATGATGTGTGACATTGTGAGAGACGGGCCTTTTAGTTCAGGTTTCGCTCTCTCAAAAGTCGGTGCACCTTATGAAGCTTTGGAGTCCGACACGACCACAAGACTTTGCTGCCACTTCTGTTGGGCAAAAGTGGGAGAAGTCTTGGGACTCTTTACTTCTATCCAGCAAACGTGACGGCTATTGCTGCCTACTGTCGACTGCATGGCGAAGGCACTCCAGTAAGGTTCGATCACCGGGCGGAACGCGTGCGACACGCAGCCAGGGCCCGAGAAGGTTCACGACTTTCTGGGAGTGTTGTCTGGCAGCTATGCCCACTTGAGCCTCCACGCCCTCCGAGATATCACGTTTGTTGAGGCCACCCGAAAGGCCTTTCGTTGAAAGGACTTCTTGGCGGACCTGGTCAAACTGATGAGGGGTAAGCTCGCACAGTGTCCCATAGGATGCCAAATAGCAGTCATTGATTCGGTCCCCAAGCCACGCTGCCTGTGGGTCATACGCGTGTACTTTCCGCTGGTGTTCCCTCTGCTTCTTCTCCGCAAGTTCCTCGACCAGCTCAAGGACTGCTCGGTCCTCCGCCTTGAGGTGTGATGGATCCTGGTTGGCCAGTTGCAGCACCCGCCGGATCTGTCCTGCCAGGGACATTCCAGCTGTCGCGGCGTAAGGGCAAGAGCCTGCTGCGGCTGACTGGCCTGTTCTGATGGGCAGTCGAGGTCGAAACTCGTTTGCATAGTCGCCCAAGGCCTGTTGCCTACGACTCTCCATATGTCGACGCTGTTGTCTCGAGATCTTGAAACCAAATCTGTTCTTCAGCTCCTCCATCATCGCATCGAACAGCGTAAGAACCCCACAATGGCAAACTCCGAACGGGTAAGTGGGACAATCATACCTGAAAACATCATCTTGGGTTTCGTGAAAGAAGCACTTGCTAAGGTTCACCACGAACTTGGACCTGGAAAGCTCGGCAGGATCATCGGGGGTTGCCACGGCCAAGGGAACCTCCAAGGACTCTTCTCGAACAAGCTCAAACTGATCATCACGTACATGAAGTGGCGAGTAGCGAAAGGGAAACTTGAGAGGAACGTCTGGATGTCGAATGAAGTCGTTCAATGTCACGACGCTTTTTTTGCGGGGGATGCTCCGTGGCATACAAAGGTTCGAGCTGGCGTTCAACTCCTCTACGTCCAGCTCGCAACCAGAGGTTATGCCAGCCTGGTCCATAGGGCATTGCCTTGACTTTACAGCCTCAACATGGCCTTGACTCTGCACCCCAAACTTGCCCGAAACCCTAAACTTGCCCTAAACCCCCCAGTTCGAAAGATCTGGGATGACTCAGCCTGAATGGGAGCAGGTGTTTCTCAAGCGGTCGCCTCTTCAGCCTTTCCACCTGGAAGAACCTCTGCAACCACGAATCTGGACTTCTGCTTCTTGCCCGTCTTGATTGGTATGTGCTGTAGCTTGACGTCCTCCCTCGGCTCGGAGTCATACGTCACGAGCTGCGTGCCTCTTGTGCAAAGAGACTCCCGAAGCACCTTCAACATCAAGTAGGTCTTGTTAGTCCAAGCAACTCTGGTAGCTCTGGCAACCAATTGCTTCTGCTGTTTCGCCCAGAACTGCTGTGGGGTGTTGAAGGAAGGGTCGAAGGCCAAAAGGTAGCAAAGGCAATAATTTACGTCGACTGCTGTTCGCTGGAGCTTCTCTTCCACCATTCGTCGTCCCTCATGGTCTGTTTCTGATACTGGAAATGCACCAGGATGGAGTGACTGAAGCTCGTGGTGAAGCAAATGCGCTGGATGCTCCCCGATTGAATCAGCATGCTGCCAGAATGCTTGGTGTTCCAGGCAATGCTTGTCCTGCAGAGCCTTGTATATCAGCGAAGCCGCCTCTCGATTGGGAAATGACAGCTCATGATGCCAGATATCGAAAACAGCCTTCAGCAAGTCTTCTGGATTGACATGGTTGATTCTGTCACGGCTTCCTGCTTTTAGCTCCTTAAGTTCAAGCCATGCTTGCAGGCGGGGCGCCCGGACTTAAGCACTCGCATGTCCTTGACATAAATGGAGCCGGCGAACGTCTTGTCAAGGAGGATGTCGCCAAGGTGATTTGAAATCCTTGCGCTGGGTGGGCACAGGAACAAGAACTGGGCCTCGTCAAAATCTCCACGCGGGAAGCCCTGGACAAGTGTCATTGCGCACGTCGAAGGACAAATCGTCAGAGAAAGCCCACTGCTCAGTCCAACGAGAAAGCGTAGCAGACAAGCATTTCGTGTTGCTTGCCTGACAGTTCTGATTTGGATACCCCCAAGAAAACTTCCACCGACATCCGCTGGAGTATATGCGGAAGCAAATGCCAGCTTGGCGAGATAATGCGCATATGCTGGACTGCAGGCCATCTCCAAATTTTCCTCGGCACTGTCCTTCGCATGCAAAAACATACATGCGTGGGACTTTCGTCCATTAAAGAACTCCCTCAACCCGAACCCCGCCAAAGCAACCCACCAGCCTTCAAGCTTCTCCGGCCCGGACCAGCCGTCATAAAGCATCTCCACGTGCATCCGGTCAGACAGGTTCGTCAAGTACACTGTCGAAAGCTCTGCCTCTTCGATTTCCAGGGATCCCAAGCTGATAGGCCTTCGCCAATCGAGACCGTGAGGGGAAGCCAGCGCCTCTTTCCGTGCCAAAGGCGGAAGGAACATCTCGTACTTGGTCCAAGGTCGGCCTGTGGCATCACGGAATGTGACCTTGGACATCTGCACATGATCTCTCCGATACAAACAGCGATCAGCTGCCGCATCAACCTCATCCTTCCAGTTCTGAACTAGCTCTGCCATCGCCATGTTCATGGTGAAGTGATGACATTTTCTCTCCGTGTAGCAAGAAAGATCCACCACCCCTGGGCTTGCCACCACACTGGAATGGCGCAGCACCGGCTTCTGGGCGCCGCGTGAAGCCATGGCGGCCCCATATGCCCCCGGCTGGTTCAGGGTGCGTTGAACTTGGGATTTGGGCTTTCAGGCTTGCACCGTATTCATCTCGGATGTGAGGCAAGAATTAGCCGGGTGAAGTGCTGCAGAGGACAGGAGTTCGAGCAAGGAAACTCTTGTTCGTGCACTGACACCTTCCTGCATTGCACCAGACTGAGGCCCAAAGCCAGAAAGCTTCAATCCCCAACAAGCCACGACCCCAGGTTCCCCAGCAACCCGGGAATGAATCAAAGGGGCACCTCAACAAACGGATGAAACATCTTGGCAACCTAGAGTCTATCTTGTTCTCCAGGTCGCCCTGGACGTCGGGGAGGTCCTGCGCTGATGCGTGTCCGCGGTAGACATTGTAGCCCGAGACAAATCCATTTCAATACATTCCTTACAGCCCCAGCAGCTGAACCCTCCCAAAAACATTGTAACCCCTGCGCTGCTCCTTGGTGACAGCTATAACCAATGCGTAGACCTGCAGTTCCGGTCTGGGTGCTGGGCTAGTTTCTGAATCTTTGACGGGGCAGCTTGCGGGGTTTATGGCAGAGGCTCTGAGAGCGCAGCTGGGGATCTACGAGTACAACTGACCGGGACGCCTGCGGCTCTTGTGCCATTGCCAAAGGCCCTCATCCCCTAAAACCCGCCTACGCCTCAAACCTGAAACCCTGTAAACCCCGAAAAAAACAACTCGAACCCCCAATCCTAGACCTCAAGCCGCATGGGCCCAGGAACTCTGTAAAGCTCACTTATCTAGGGCCCCCTGCCGAGCAGAAGCACGTGATGAAGATGGTCGGATAGCTCCAGCCAAACGGCACCTTCAGCCTCGGCGCCGCGGCTTCAAAAACAAATGTTCGTTTCGACCCCAAACCCCAAACCCTATCGACCCTAGTCCCCATACACCCAAAAACCTGAGACCCTGAAACCCTAAGACCCCAAAACCCGAAGACCCTAGACCCGAAAACCGGAAAACGGGTTCCGACTCTTCCAACTTGCCAGGGCTGTGGCATGGCGCGCGTCGCGTAATAGACTCCGAAGTTCAGGAGGAATCCTCCTTGGAGCACGGGCAGCCGAATCCCTAAAACTTCATGAAGCAGTCAACCATAAACCCTATAAGCCATATGAGCCCCTGTGAACCCTAACGCCATGAGCCCTAAAACCCCAGCGCTGGGGATGTTCAGGGTTGCGGGGGTTTAGGGAGTTAAGCTTCCTTATGAGCCCTAAAGTCTGTAAACCCAGGTCCCAAGACTTGGAGGTCCATCCCCTAAACCCAAAACCCAAAACCCTAAACATAAATCCTATAAATCCTATAAATCCTATAAATCCTATAAATCCTATAAATCCTATAAACCCTAGAAATCCTATAAATCCTATAAACCCTAAAAATCCTATAAATCCTAGAAATCCTAGAAATTTTATAAATCCTATAAATCCTATAAACCCTATAAACCCAATGAACCCTAAACCCTCATCCTTCCCCTCTGAGCCGCCGGGCGCACCGTGGCGATAATCAGAGCTGCAGCGATCGCCGACTTCTTGAGGCGCAGAGGCCTGGCTTGCGGGCTTTTTTGGGGTTTAGGGTTTAGGGTTTAGGGCTTTATAAAGAGTTTTCATGGGGTTTTACAGGGGTTTGATAGGGTTATCATAGGGTTGTATAGGGGTTTATAGGTTTACGGCCTTTTTTGGGGTGTGGGGTATACAAGGCCTAAACCCTAAACCCGACAACGCCAAGAAGCCCTAAGATCCTGAGATCCTGCAAGCCCTTGACCCCCCTACATCTCGGATCCCGACGGAACGCTGTAGATGGTGCCAAGGAAGAGGCCAAAGGCGTACAAGGAGCCAATGAGAGGGCCTTTGGGCCACAGCGTGTGTTGTTTGGGGAGCCTCTGGGGTTGGGTTTCGGACTTGGATATTGGCGTTGGGCATACTACTACATGGGTCTGGGGTCCAGAAATAAACACTCTAACACCAGCGCCTGGAACGTCAAACCCTAAACTCCAGTCAAAACGAGCTTGGCGCGCTTTTCGCTTGAGCTGCGGGACCCCTGGCACCGAACGCACCAAGCCTAAGCCCTACATGAAGCCTGGCATGTCCCGACGCTTCTTCGCGCGCGCTTTCCTTCCGGTCTCGTGAGTTGCTGACTTTCGCATTGTGGGGCCTGCAAGAGAAACTCAGGGCAGACACCTTGAGGGTTTTGGGTCTTTGGGGTTGGGGGCTCCTTCTACTGAAGGCTAGGGCAGGTGCCAAACAGGTGAAACGCGAGGCCAGTTCCTGGGCGCCAATGGAGGAGGCTCTGAGGTTTCAGTGCTTGGGGTGTTAGGGATCGGCGCTACGGGGCTTGGGGTTTAGGGTCTGAGATTTCATTCGCTTCCAGCTGGCTAGGTAGGGGCGGTGCGCAGAAAGACATTGAGCATGGCAGCGTTTTGCTTCGGACTTAGGGCACTAGGCGTAGAGCTGTCAATGCATCGAAGCTGTAAACCTTAAAACCCCTTGTGGAGGCATTTAATTTCCCTGCCCAAAGAGTTTCTTACATCATGAAACACCCCTTCACGCCCCGAAAGCCCCCAAAAACAACCCTCCGAGAGGGGCCCTGCTGCTGCCGTGGTTCCGCACACGGCCATGAGGATGATGAGCACCCAAGCCTGCGGCCGCAAAAGTCTGAGAGGATTCAACCTGGGAGTTGAGTCTTTGGGGGGGGGGGGGGGGGGTTTAGGGTTTAGGGTTTAGGGCTTAGGGCTTAGGGCTTAGGGCTTAGGGCTTAGGGCTTAGGGCTTAGGGCTTAGGGCTTGGGGTTTAGGGTTTAGGGTTTAGGGTTTAGGGTTTAGGGTTTAGGGAGTCCCGCAAGCCCTCCTGAAATCCTGAATCCTGGGGCACGCGCCTGCGGGATGGACAGCTCCTTAGCAGCCACCGGCAGGAAGGGCTTGTTGATGACGTCCTGCAGTACGCGCCCGTGCATGTTTGGGTCGTTAAAGGGCTATAGGTCCCCAAGCAAAACTTGGTTCGTTTTGAAGGGCTTAGGGTTCATTGGGTGAACAAGTCTACCAGGGAGCCGTGCCATTACAAGGAAAAGAAGGCACGTCCGACGACTGGCTCCCGGAAAATTCTGCACGTGGTGTCTATGAGCCCCTTAGGGTAGCAAAGGATGCCTTGGCCAGGATCCTACAGCGACGTGGACCTGAAACCCTGCAGCTCTGGGCTCCAGCCTTGGGTTTTGGGTTGTTGAGTTCAGGGCAAAAACCTGGCAATCCTGAACCCCCAAAGCCTTAGACCCTTCCTCTTGCTGAGGCCGCTGCTATGCTAACATCGTAGATCTGGTTGATGCCTACAATGTAGCCATTGCCTGGGAGCTGAGAGTGAGCTCAGGGCTGAACCTGGACTTCAGAAGAACGCGAATGCCCTTAGCGTTTAGGGTGGTATGGGACCCCCCCCCTCCCCTACTAACCATGAGGGCTCCGCCACTCAAGGCAGGCCAATGAATCTCAACTACCGGGTCACTGAACCCTAAACCCCGAAACCCTGAACGATCCAAAGGCGTTCTCGAAAGCCAGAGTTTCGGGCCTTCAGGTCTGCAAGTCTTTCTCGTATCCTTATGAAGAGCATCTCCCGGACCTCAAACTCCTAAACCCTGCGCTCCGAAACCCACTACACCTTTAGCAGCCGATTATAAAAATATCAAAGAAAGGAAGAAATGGTAAAACCCTGAAGCCTCTTCTCGTGCTTGGCAAGGCGCCGCAGAGCAGGGCTAAGACGCCCAGTGCCGCGGTGGGAAGCAACGACCTTGAGGCGTTTTGTCTCTGGGGTTGCGGTCGGGTTCAAAGCCCCACCCCCCACCAAACCCTAAAACCAGATATATACATATATATATATATATGCTCATGCTCATATATATATATATACCCCTAAAACCCTATAAACCCCAAAACCCTAACAAGCCCTATGATAAAAACCCAAAAAACGAATGCCTGGTTTAAGGGAGCTCCCACAACCTCCCGAGATTGCTCGGGAGCTCCGAAGATTCAGGTTGAGGGGCTAGAGAAATGTACCAAATACAGCTTCACTCAGTTCATGCATTTTGCTGGATTCTTCATTCTAACTCTCCGATGTTGCTTGTTTACTTGAGTTAGAAGAAGTGAAGACATGAACGGCGCATGAACTCAAGTGAGCAACAAGCAAATTTAAAACTAGGAAGGGAATGAAGAACAAGTGTTAATATTCGCGGTCGTATGAAAAGTACTCAAGGTCGCCCAGAGAAAAGCACATTTAAAAATTGTAAAATACAGGCGTGCGCTACACTTACCCCTTAGTTCTGCTATATAGGACTTTTACTATATTTGATATCGTACACCAACAACCATTCTATTTCCATAGTAGTATTGTATAAATCCGTGCGTCGTTTCGCAAACTCATCCCTTACAATTCAGCATCCTCTTCGAGACCGTGGTAGTCCAGTAACCATATTATAACAAGGGCACCAATCTTGTGGGTTGGTTACTTTATAACCCTTATTAAGGGAACCTTGAACCAAAAAAGGGGACAGGGTACCAGTGTACCATACAAGACACCCTTAACCCTAAACCCTAAACCCTAATAAACCCTATAATAAACCCTAAAACCCAGGCTGGGTCTCCGCGCCAATCTGGGGCCTGTCCGTTCTCGATCACGGCGCGCGAGACCATGGCACTTGAGCCTGGCGCAGAGTCTATGGAGGGTTTAGGGTTTAGGGTTTAGGGTTTAGGGTTTAGGGTTTAGGGTTTAGGGTTTAGGGTTTAGGGTTTAGGGTTTACCACAGGCCCTTAGTATGGTCCCTTACCCTTGTTTAAAGAGCCCCCCCCCCCCAATTTTATTGTTTTGTGTGGAGGAAAGATTGTTGCCAGTACTATTTGAAGGGATTTAAAGGGGTCCGAAGTATGGGCCCCTGTTATGTATAGTGTGTATAAGGCTTCTTTACAGGGGACCCAAATTAAGGGCCCTATACTTCGGATCCCCTGCAGCGGGAAAGCACCCCGGCGGCGGGGGCGGTTTGGCTTTTAGGGTTTCTTGAGTATTTAGGGTTTCTTGAGTATTAGGGTTTAGGGGTTTTGGGGTGATAGGGTTTTAGGGTTTTAGGGTCTGTCTGAGGGCCTACAGGGTTAGGACTCAGGCGTGTTGATAGTGGGCGCAGGGTGTTGTACAAGAAAGCCTGTGCAGCACCCGAGTTTGCCAGAAATCATCCCCCAAAAGCCCCAAACCATCGAGCTCCTAAAAGCCCTGAACCCCAAAGTAGCGCCTAGGATGGTCCCACGGATGGTATGAGGCCTGGGCCAGGGTTGTAGGGTTTTGGGGTTAGGGGGAATAGATTTCAGGGATGAAACCGTTTCAGGGTTAGGGCTTGTGGCTGCAGGGTTTATTTCTCAAGGTTAAGGTCTAAGGCTTATAATCTAGGCTAAGGTTCATCATCTTATACAAGTTAAGGTCGCTTAGAAGAGTTTAAAGGCTCCAGAGATGTGTGGCGCCAGAGATTTAGGGAGTTAAGGGTTTACGGTTCAGGGGGAAGCACCCCTGAACCCTAAACCCCCCGTAAGCCCTTCATTTTGTCAAGGGTTTAGGTTTGGGTTGAAGGTTTGGGGTTTAGGGTTTGGGGTTCGGGGGGAAGCAGCGGCAGGTTGCGAGACGGGAAAAAAAACCGGAAAGGCAAACACGGCGAGCTTGGACAGCCGGCTCTTTGTCTTGGATGGGCCAGTTTGGGGTTTAGGGTTTCGGGTTTAGGGTTTAGGGTTTAGGGTTGAGGGGGTTTCGGGCCTCGGGCTTATCCCTACCCTAAACTCAAACACTATAAACAGCAACCCCACCCACCAGAGACCCCGAACGGGATCCGTCGTGAGATGCCATGGCCCGAGGCCGTAGAATCTTGGGCGAAAGGTCACGTAGAGGGCCCAAGAGTCTTGCCTACAGGACTGCCTTCCCTGAACCCGAAACCCTAAACCCTAAACCCTGAACCCTAAACCCTAAACCCTAAACCCTAAACCCTAAACCCTAAACCCTAAACCCTAGCATCTTCGGGTTCAGGGACTTAAGGGCTTTAGGGCTTCAGGTTATGGGAGCTTAGGGTTTCGGGTTCAGGGCATTGCGGAACCGAACCTCACCCCATCCCCCAAAACAGACCCCCCACACCCCCACGTCCCCTCAACGCCGATGAACAGTGAAGCTGAACTATAGCACCCGAAAGCTCAGATGTCCAAACCGATCAACGCTTTGACATACTTGCCCCGCAAAAATGCAAAAAAAAAAAAAAAAAAAAAACACACACACACAAGCCCTCCAAAACCCTTTGGAAGCCCCAGCTGAATCCCCCGAACCCGAAACCCTAAACCCTAACCCTAAACTGATCCTAAACCCCAAAGTTTCATGGGCCCTTAATATGGTCCCGAACATCCTTTAAAGGGTTCTTATGTATGGGCCCTGAACCCCAACGCCTCAAGAAGTTCTAAGCTCTTGTGGCTCCGCGCCTCAGGAATTTCCAAAAGGCCTTGAGGGAGCTGCTCTTCTCTTCCTCAACTGCGCCTTGGTTGAGGGCTTTTTGGGGCTTTTTGGGGCTTAGGGGTAAGGGCTTCGGAGTTGACGGGCTTAGGGGTTTAGGGGCCGAGGGGTTGAGGGGTTAAACTCCAGAGGTGCTACCCCAGCCTTTCCTCCGATGGTGATCATGAGGAGATGAGGTATTGCGACTGTTCTGTGCTGATCTGCGTTTTCTCTTCTGGTGTGGTGGGGGAGGGGGGGGGTGGCGTTGGGCTTTACGGGCTTAGTCGTACCCTAAACCCCAAAACCTTGCATGTCGACCAGCAACCCAGACGAGGAACCCTACAGCACCCTTCCCAAACCCGAGACAACCCCACCCCCGAAAGCTCACAAGCTCTTGCTTTTGCTTGGGTGAGGCGCCCTCCGACCCAGCACGCCGCAGGAGCCGAGTAGGCGCCTGTTCTGGAAGCCCCTGACCCCTATACACCCTATAAATCTTACAAACCCGAAACCCCTATAAACCCTATAAACCCTATAAATCCTAGAAACCCGTAAACCCTATAAACTCTAGAAACCCTATAAACCCTATAAACCCTGTATACCTTAAACCCTGAACCCTAAACCCCAAACCCTCTCTGGGCTTGGGGGGAGCACAGGAGGGGTGGTTTGGGGGCTTGGTTGTTCGGGTTGAAAGCTTAGACCTCCCCCAAGTTTGCTACCCCCCCCCCCCCCCGTCCCCCAGAATGGTCCGAACACTGCTAACCCAATGATTGTGGAGAATTCGCAGACTCAGTGTTTAGGGTTTAGTAGGGTTTCGGGGCAAGTGAGCGAAGAGAGGAAGACAGAGAGAGAGAGAGAGGGACAGGGAGAGAGAGAAACCAAAAAGTAGCACGTGCCTTTCCCGCAAACTGCTGCTGCACTGCCCCGCGTGGCGACGGAACCAAGAAGCCTGCGCACGGGCAGCATCCCTAAACCCTATAACCCTAAACCCTCAACCCTAAACCCTAAAACCCTCCCGCACCCCCCCATCCAAAAAACAAACAGCTGCCATTCTGGAAGTGCAGGACGGACCCTAACCTTCACGGGCCGTGAAGATGCTGATGGGGCCCACACCGCTCTTGACCTTGATCTCGAAACAGCCCTCCAGCGACGAACAAACCCATGGAACATCTCAGCCCTTCAAGGCCCTATAAAAACCCTCTGAACAATTAGGCCCTCAAAGCCCTGAACACTGAGAACAACATGTGACATATGAAGCCCTAAAGTCCTACAAATGCGCCTGAGTCCCGGCCATAGCCCCAGAGCAGGGCAGCTAGAAGGCAGAGCCCCAACAGGCCCCTCATCGTCCGCATGGCCCCAGACTCCTGAGCCTTGTAGTGGGCCCTTTGTAAGAAAAAGGCTTCTTACTTGTAGGGTCGGGCTGAAAATCTAAAGGGTCTCTAGCTGGTGGAGAAGCTGAACAAATTCTGCGTGAAGTCAGGGGCAAGGTCTCTTGCTCGCTGAGAGGTGCAATTTACAGCTTTCTTCGCCGGCGGCGGCTACTTCATCCTTGCGTTCTTGGATGGGCTGCATGTAGAGTCAAGATGCTCTGCTACCCTGGAGCGCTCCGAGCATCCAGGCTTGCGCGCCATCTTTGCTACCCAGCAGCCCTAAAAACCCAAAGTTGGCCTAGGACTTAGGGTTTCGGGTTTGGGGCTTGGGAATCAAGACTCCGGTAACGCATTTGACCCCCGCCCTAACCACGAAAGGAGTCGAATCTCCGACACGAAGGATGGCTGCAAACAGATACATATAGAACTCATCTCTGAAAAACTAAGGCAACATGAAGAACCTCCGCAGAAAATGCCGGCCCGTGAAACTTCAACCTAAGGAAGTGATTTGAGGGCTGTTCTGATCTGGGACGCCATTCTTCGGCACCTGGTGTTGTATAGGACTATGCTAAAGCAGAATCATCGTGGTTTCGGTTTTGGAAGTTGGGAAGCCTACCGAGCGAGGCCTCACTCAAATCCGCACCTTCTGTGAACAAAAAGACTCGAAGTGTTCGCGTAAGGCTTGGGAACTCCGAAAAGGCCAACCTTGGTGCTTAATGGGAGGGGGGGGACCCCAATCTGATCCCTTTGCACCACAAACGACATGCCAGGTGAGCCGGGCAGCAAGCTCTTCCTTGGTGGATGGTGGAATTCAGTGGGCCCTATGCTCGCTGTCAAATCTGCTTGGGAAGCACCGATATCAAGGACACGTCATGCTGCACCGGGCTGGCGAGCACCCACCAGACAAAACACAAACAAGGACACGAACATGAGGCCTCCTTTAACTTCTCTCAGGCCCGTCACGCTTGTCTCTTGCTTGGCTAGTTCCTGCCTTCTGGTACGTCTATCTCCAGTAACCCAGAAGCCCCCATCCCTAAACCAACGCATGGTCACTTCTCCATGATATAACCCCTGTTCTGGTCTTGATTGTACGGCGGCCCCTCGAATTTAGGGTACTGTACCCAAAAAGGGACAACAATGTAGAGAACCGACCACATGAACGGCACCCCCCCCCCCCAATTACTCTATGGTTTTGTCTTGCCCTGGCGCCAGCTCGAAGCCTCCTTGCTGTGCCAGTGGAAGCAATGTTGCCTCTAGAAAAAGCAGGTTGTTTGCGGCGGATAGGACTAGGAGTCTATAAAAATGCAACAGGGAAACTTGTAGAATATCTCTCTTTTCCATATACAAAGCCGCCAAAGCCCAAGCCCAGGAGCCAGCATTCAGAAAACCGCACCTGCTCATCCGAAAAAAACGAACGCGATTGCTTTTCGGTTTGGAAACAGGGCCCGGACCACCAAATCCACAGTGCTTTTCTCGTGCTTGGTGACGCATGTAGTGTGAAGTCTATAACAGTGCAGTAGGGTAGAAAATGCGTATCGAACCGAATCGCTACAATCAATACTACCAAGACCTCATTTTCGGGAAACAATCGGTAATTCGGGAAAACATCGGCAATATATCGGTATTGATCGAACCTCTTCTCTGCAGACAAGAATCAGAGTGATACTCCTTCGCAGCTCATGCGGCGCTGTGCCGACAATGCGCTTGCACACCTGGTGTTCTAGAGCCCGAAATCTGCCAAACACTTTTATATCAACCCGGGAGGAGGGTTTAGGGCTTAGGGCTTAGGGCTTAGGGCTTAGGGCTTAGGGCTTAGGGCTTAGGGCTTAGGGCTTAGGGCTTTGGGTTTAGGGTTTAGGGTCTCAACCAACCTAGCTGACCAAGCTGTCTGGCCCCGGTCTTATTGGAGTATCATGGCCCTTCCCTCGTGAGCTGCCCGGAGATTCTGTGGGCCCTCTCTGGACGCAACCAGACATGCATCTCAAGCGCGCGAACCTTGCATGATCGTCCGCATCGAGGATCCTGGATCCTAATTAAGAAAGCCCCAAAACCCTGGACAGCACTACTTCCGAGGCTTGGCTTGGCAACAAGAAGCAGCCTAGAAAACACCAGAAAACTCCAAACACAAACATAAATCCCAACCCACCCCCGACAACCCTCCCCTCCGAAACACCAAGAAGCCTAAGGGTGCCGCCTTGCGTAGCATTGTGCTTTCTTACCACCGTTTGGAATTTACTATTCTTTAAAATGAGTACCCCCAAACCCTAAATGCCAGAAATCCCAAGCTAGGACCCCACAAGCCAATCCCTAAATCCCTCAAACCCCGAAGCCCGAAACCCTCAAACCCCGAAATCCTAAACCCCTAAAGCCCAAAACTCTGGGGGGTTTACGGGCCTAAGGGGGCTTAAGGGGGGGTCTTAGAGGGGTCTTAGCGGTTTTTTGCGGTTTTTGGGTTTGGGGCTTTGCGGGGCTTGGTGGGTTTCGGATCTTTTTGGAAATCAAGGATTCGCGCCTCAGGGTTGGGTGCCGGTGGTTTAGGGTTTAGGGGGGCTTCGGGCTAGAACCCTAAACCCTAAACCCTAAACCCTAACCCTAGACCCTAAACCCTAAACCCTAAGCCCTAAACCCTAAACCCTAAACCCTAAACCCGATGTGCTAAGGACAAAGCCGCTGGCCCAAGACAGCAACGGCAGTGCCTGGACAGGACCCAACCGGCTGTATCCCCCCCTTGGAACCCTAAGTCCCAATACCTGTGGGGTTTAGGGTCTAGGGTTTAGGGTTTAGGGTTTGGGATTTAGGGTTTGGGGTTTGGGGTTTAGGATTTATGGTGCAGGTCTGAAAGTTTAGGGTTTAGGGTCTAGGGTTTAGGTGTTTAGAGTTTAGGGATGACACTTTAGGGTTTAGGTTTTTGACTTTAGGGTTTAGAGGAAGCCCTGGTGAGACCCCTAGACCCAAACGCCAGAAAGGCCCACTGCGTGTTGCAACATTCAGATGCCCCCAAGAAAGGGGCCTCATGGGGGCGCTGAAGCTCGTAAGGCTTGGAGCTTGAGTGGGATTTCCCTAAATCCTAAATCCTCAACCCTAAACCCTAAACCCTAATTTAGTCTCTTAGGAAAGGGGCTTTGGTGTTGGGCATCTTTCAAGCGGCCTGTCTGCTATTCCCCTTTTTCCAACGTGTAGGTTGGGAGGAACGCAAGATCGAAGCGAACTGGAGAAAAAACCGAAAATACATAAGACCCGACGCTTTAATTTCGAAACCCTAGGAGCTTCAAGCAAAAACTCCAACAACTCCAAAACCCATAAAACTTGTAAGCCTCAAAATCCATAGAACCCGAAAAAAACCGAAACCAAGTGCTAAACCCCTAAAGCCCTAAACGCCCTAAACCCCGGCGGAAGGGTTTTTTTGCAAAGGTGTGGCTCGGCCATGTTTCCTTGCAAAGGTGTGGCTCGGCCTTGGTTCTTGGTTCGAGGCTGCGAATACTGTAAATTGCAGCATTTCTGCGTTCGCAGAGGCTGCAAATACTGTAAATAACAGCATTTGTGCGTTGCCAGAGCCTGCAAATACTGTAAATAGCGACATTTCTGCGTTGTCAGAGGCTGCAAATTATGTAAATAGCAGCAATTGCTCGTGTCCAGAGGTCGCAAATACTGTAACTAGCAGCATTTCCGAGTTTGCAGAGGCTGTCAATACTGCACAAATAGCAGCATTTCTGCATTTTTCAAAGGTTGCAAAGACGGTAAATAGCAGCAAGTGTAAACCCCCCGTCGCCCATTTGCAAACGCGATGCTCGCATGATGGTTTGAAAACGAGTATGGCTTATAATAGGTTTTGCAAACACTGTACTCGCATCATGTGCTTGAAAAAGACTGTACGGCTTAAAATGGGTGGCAGCCTTAAACCAAGCGGGGGGGTTGGGGGGGGCGCAGCCCCCCCCATTTGCAAACACATAATGCTCGCATGATGGGTTCGTGCGACTTAAAACCCCCCCTCCCCCATTTGCAAACACGATGCTCGCATGATGGGTTTCAGACAACATGTTCTTTCCAAGATTTGTGCGTGTAAAAAGAGCGGGGGGGGCATGCGTTTGAAAAAAGACCGTACGGCTGAAAATGGGTGGCAGCCTTCAAAAAAGCCGGGGGGCGGGGGGGTTGGGCGGGGCGCAGCCCCCTCCACTTGCAAACACAATGCTCGCATGATGGGTTCGTGCGACTTAAACCCACCTCCCCCATTTGCAAACACGATGCTCGCAGGATTGGTTCGTAAGAGTTAAACCCCCTCATTTGCAAACACGATGCTCGCATGATGGGTTTCAGAAAACATATTTTTCTGGAAGCTTCGCACGTCAAAAAACCGGGGTTCAACACGGCGCAAAAAAACATGAAGTAGGGTTTATATTTCTTGTACCCCCAAAAGGACACCCGATGTACACACTTAAAAGGAACCTTTTATGCACTCACCAAAACAGAAATATAAATGTTCTTTGAGAAAGCTTCGCACGAAAGAGCGGGGTTCAACACGGAGCAAAGTCGAGCCAAGCCAATCCGAGGCGAGCCAAGCAGGCTAAGGCCGTGCCAAGCAAGCCAACTTCAGCCGAGCGAGGCAAGCCGAGGCGAGCCAAGCCAAGCCGAGCCAAGCCGAACCGAGAAAAGCCAAGCCGAGCCAAGCCGAAGACGAGCCAGGCCAGGCCAGGCCGGGCACAGCCAAGCCAAGCCAAGCCAAGCCAAGCCACGCCTTTGCAAGGGGACAAGCCAAGCCAAGCCACACCTTTGCAAGGGGACAGGCCCGAGCCACACCTTTGCCAAAAAAAAACCCTGGGCCCCTAAACCCCAAACACCCTAAGACTCCCAAACCCTCAAAACCTAAACACCCAAAACCCTTAACCCCCTAAACCACTCAAACCCTACATGCCTAAAACCCGAAACCCCTCCCCCCCCCCCCCAAACCCCCAAACCCCCAATACCGACCGCAACCCCTACTTAAAACCCTAACCCAAGACCCCCTAAACCCTAAGCCCAAAAACCGTGGAGCCCCACACCACCCTCAACCAACCTAACACCCAAAACAGCATCCTAGACACCCCTAAAGCCGCCGAACACCCTAAAACCCCCAAGAAGCCCTCAAACCCTAAACCCCAAACCCTAAACCCCAAACCCCAAACCCTAAAGCCCAAACCCCAACCCCCCCCCCACCCCCTTCAGACCCGGGAGTCGCACCTCTCCGGGCCGAGCAGCGGTCGCATGATCGGCGGCGGGTTGCGTCGGGCCTTTTTGGGGTTTAGGGTTTAGGGATAGGGTTTCGGGTTTATGGTTTGGGAGGGATTTAGGGATTTAGGGTTAGAGTTTAGGGGTTTAGGGGATTTTGAGGGTAACCCTAAACCCTAAACCTTTAGAGCTGTAAAAGTCCATCGACTCCATCGACATCAATGCACCCCTGTGCTCAGGGCTTAGGGTTTAGGGTGTAGGGTTTTGGGGCTTAGGGCGTTTAGGGTTTTCGGGTTTTGGGGTGTTTACCGGGGTTTTGGGTTTAGGGTGTTGGTTGGTGTTTCGGGTTCCGTTCTTTCCGGGTTTAGGGTTTAATTTTCCTGAGCCTTGTAAACCCTCAACCCTCCAACCCTCAATCGCAAATTCGAGATGGGGGTTCGGGTTGGCACTTCGGGGTGCTTCATGCCTTGTTCTCAGTTCTCTGAGCGAGGTTCCTGAGCCCCTGCGACACGTAAGCCCTAAACCCTAGACATCCTTAAGCCCTAAATCCAAAACATCCCTAAACCATAAACCCTGAACCCATAAACATCCCTCCCTAAACCCTTTCCCTTAGGGGCAACCCCTTACACCTGCTTAAGCCTTCCAGGATGGAGGAGAGCAGGAACGGCGGCTCACTTCCGCGGGAAGGTCGAACTACTTGGAGGTTCAGAGTACTTAGGAACCCGTGATAAGTGTAGTTATAACCCACATACAAGTCCCTGAAGTACTCGAATAGGGTTATAGTTGGGTTATAGGTACGGCTATAATTGGGTTACTAAGTACCATGAACCTCCAAGTAAACTTCTAGCTTGCCAAACACCTGGAACACCAACACACACCTCAAACACGCCTAGAAGAGCAGAAAGGCAGAGAGGAGACCCAACTGCTAATAGACAGTGTAGGGTAGGGTGGGGGGGCTGGGGGAAGAGGGAGGGGAGGGCTTTTGGAGGAACGACATCACTACACCTCTCTGAGCCCCTAAACCCTAACCCTAAACCCTAAACCCTAAAGCCGCACCTCTGGCACAGTGAAGGCAGGCTGGTCAGGAACACCTGCGCAGCGCCCAGCCCCGTCCCAGCCAGAAAGCCCTGTCCCAGCCCGAAAGCCCTCAACCCCCTAAGCCCGCCCGGAGCCCCAAAGACCCTGTGGCCCTAGTCATGTAAGCACTATAGTCCTTCGAGGCAAAGCCCTAAATGTCCTAATCCTTGGGCCCTAAACCCTAAACCCTACAGTCTAAGCCGAGCCCACCCAGCCCACAATCTGTGGCGGGCGAGGCTGGCCGAGCGTCAGCGAACGCTTGTCTCACTCGCGTCCAGAACTCTGTGAGGGTCGGCTCGTTGTGGATGCCTGTACGCATACTGCTCAATACTATACCCCGTAAAGGTATACACTCTTTAACCGCCACCGAGATGCTAAAATAGAGCACTTCGAGTCTTTTCAGGTCCTCGCAAGCGAAGACGAAGTGCAACTGGGGATGGCACTCTCTTGGGCATGACTTCATTGCAAGCACCTAGACGGCTACAGGGGTGCCCCCGCCGAACAGCCTCCCCCATCATCATTATCATCATCGTGATGCTGATGATGATCAGCAAGCTCTACACATGCATCATGCTTCTCACTACTTTGCTGTGTAGATGATATAGACACCACCATGGGTTTTGTATCTGTGTTATCTTGAACTCCGGGTGGTAGGGGTGGGCAAACCAGTTCTGCTCACTCTGAAGACACCCTAAACCCCAAACCCTGAACCCTAAATTGCCCCGGCATCGCGACTTTTCGGAGCTGCGGATCGAAGCAACGCCCGCCTGTGCCACGGGCGGCCCTCAACACTGGCAAACGTTTCGGGCGCGGAGGTTTTAGGGTTTCGGGGTTTAGGGGTTTAGGGTTTGGGGTCTAGGGCTCTGGGTTTTAAGCAGGGTTTCATTATTAATTAGGGCCCACTGGTGTAGGGCCTAGGGTTTAGGTTTAGGGTTTAGGCGTAGGGTTTGGGGTTTAGGGTTTAGGGTTTTAGGGTTTCGGGTTTAGGGTTTTGGGTTTTGGAGCACGAAGGTCTGTAGAGCTTCGGAAACCTTGGTTTGGGAGGGGAACAGGCTACACCTCATAAGGACACCCGCCTAATCAAACCTAATCTAGGGGTCGGCATACTTACTAATAGTATTCCCTTTTGGTCCCCACATCAAATATACTACAATTTTTCGCAATACCCTTTCGAATTATTTAGGCACCCTAAACCCTAAACCCTCAACCCTAAACCCTAAACCCTAACTTAGACTCCCCAAAAACATTTGCCAGGGCTGCCGGCCTCCCACCGCAGCTCAGACAGAGCTCTGCGACGCTGATTCGGATATGGGGGTATTTAGGGTTTAGGGTTTAGGGTTTAGGGTTTCGGAGTGTTTAAGGCTTTGTGCCGCTGTATCAAGTTCTTGCGGGCCCCACAGCAGAAGCCAGGCCACGAGCACTGCAGACGACAGCGGCGGGGATGCGCTGAGACAGATTGCGAGCGGGCCACGCGCCCGCGCGCTCACTTTACAAAGGCTCGACCCTGTACACGCAACTCAGTGAAACTACGGGTCATGGGGGAGGCAGGAGACAGGGAATCCCAAGATTGCAACGCCCTTACCCTAAGGACCACAAGCTTGACCAGAAGGTTGAGGATGGTTGAGGATTTGCTGTAGACCTCTCCCACGTGAATTTCTATGAGGTTAAGTCTATTGCCTTAGGGCCTCAGAGCCTGTCAAATCTGAGAACTAGTGCGCTCGCTGTGCAAGCTCTTTGTTTTCGCTCTCTAGTTGTTTAGCTGTTGTTGCTTTTTGTTGGGATGTGAGGTTTCAGCTTCGTGTCATAGGATGGCGTCTCCTGCTCCCCCCTGTCAAGCCCGTGACCTACGGCCCTAATCCTGAAAACCCCGAACCTCAAACCCTCTCAACCCACGGCAGGGACAAAGATCAAAAGGCACTCATGCGGGGGATGAGATGAGTTCCACAGATCCTGCCCTGGCATCCACTTCCTTAGCGCAGACAGGACTTAGGGTCCATATGGGTAACCCTGCACCCTGAACCCTAACCAGCTCAACCTGAACGTCGAATCCCCAAGCCTGCCGTCGAAGGACTCGACACTGAAGCCTACGGGCATGATCGCCCAAAATTGGGATAGAGGTCCTGAATGTGCCCCCCTGGTAACTATCGCCCGGAGGGCCCGAATCTGTTGAGGGGATTGGGAGATACATGATTCCTGGACCCTAAACCCTATAAACCCTAAACCCTAAACCCCGTACCCTAACCTTAAACCCTAAACCCGAAACCCTAAACCCTAAACCCGAAACATCCCTAAGCTCGGACCCGACTCAAATCTTGAAAGGTCCCAAAGCAAAGTCCGAATTCAGAGCTCGGGGGCCGCTCCGTTCGTCTGCACCTGGCGCCCTTCGACGAAGAGGCCTGCAGAGGGGTTGAGGGCTCAGGGTGTAGGAAGGTTTAGGGTTTATGGGGTTTGGGGTTTATGGGGTTTAGGGTTTAGGGGTTGAGGTTTGAAGTTTAGTTTGGGTGACTTGGGGGCTTGTCAAACTGCTTGGTGTTTTAGTCTGCTCTTGCTGCCAGTAGCATCCTGAGCCCGATTCACGCTTGCTTGGATGCTTTGCACATGCAGGCGTTGAGAGATGGACTTGGCTTCAGAGTATCCAGAAGTATGCCGGGGTGGGGTGGGCCTCTGAAAGAAGAAATCAACGCAGGACTACAGCAGAATAGGAACCATAAGACCCGACGGGTGATAGCTGCGGTGATATGACCTACATGTTTGGGCCTGTTGGGGTACGTACCCGAAATGTAAGGCCCCTCTTGCGAATGAGTCGGCACCCTGAAGGAGACCTTATTACATCATTTGGCATTTCAGGACTTGGACGCTGGGGTTCGGTGTGTTGCAAATGGCACCGGCCGTCCGGGCACGATCGTGCTTGCCACACGTGCGGTGAAACCCAGCACGATGCCATGCAAGGCACACTCAACCCTCAATGAGTCATGTATGCCTTTTTACATGTACACATACATACATACATACGTACATACATGCATGCAGAAATTTATAGACACATATCTGAGTATACAAGCATACTGTGTAAGTACACTCCAACATAGTTGCCAGCAAAAGAGCAGCAGGGAAGATGCACACGTCGACATGGAGCCCAGCAAAGGTACAGCGACAAGAAGCATGAGCGCCCGCTGCCCCTATACAGGGTTTAGGGTTTAGAGTTTAGGGTTTAGGGTTTAGGGTTTAGGGTTCAGGGTTTAGGGTTTAGGGTTCAGGGTTTAGGGCTTGGGCTTTAGGGTTTAGGGAGCCGAATCCGCTGGTCAATCCAGGCCTTGCACAGGGCCGGTCTCCTCCTGCTGCATGGCCGCGAAGTCGTTGAAGATCTGCTCCAGGCTCGTCCTTGCCCCAAGAGGTCTGAAAGGCAAGTAGCGGTCTCTTAGTTGCTGCGTACCGGCCCCAAAAAGGTTAACATAACCTTTCAATTCTGGTAGGATTTTAGAAGCCCCAAAAGGCTAAAGGTCATCTACTCAGCGCCCAAGGTCTTCAAGGCCCTGAAATGCTTCAGCATGAAGAGCTTGTGGTCGCAATGAAAGCACGATCCCAGCTGGTTCCAGAGCAGGTCACTGCCGGAATCTGGTTCCCTAATGTGCTCCCCAAACAGGATATATGGGGGTTACCCCGTTCCCGATTGAAAAGCTTTGCTTTCAGAATGCTCCAGGGCCCTCCAGGGAGTGGATTTAAGAGCCTGCGGAGCTTGATACATGCATGTGGGGCTTGACGCTTCTATGTCCCCGTCCCGCTCAGAGCCTTAAAGTTTGTGGGCGTAGAAATATTTAGGGTTCCCTCAACCCTGAAAGTGCATCAGCTGGTCTTAACCGGTGCTGTTGCGGGGCAAGGCACTGGCTGACACCGTAGTCTTCCAGTGACAGCTGCCTCCTGCGCAGTTTCAGCCCTGATCCCTAGACCCTAAGCCCCAAACCCTACACCCTGATCCCCAAACCTAAACCCTGAACCCTGGGCCCGAAACCCCTACACCCTGATCCCTAAACCTAAACCCTGAACCCTGGGCCCTAAACCCTAAACTAAACCGCATCAGATGTCCTGGACTCCTCGAGAAGTCGGAAAACCTGCGCAGAGGGTGGGCGAATCCCCTCTTGTGGGGTTGAGGGTTTCAGGGTTGGGATTCTCCCCTTAACAGTCCTTCGTCGGGATTATAATTGGCGGTACTATCATCCCTATTAAGGATTGCTAGTATAAGGGGAAGAACATCCCAAGTTTAGGGTTTAGTGTTGAGAGTTTAGAGTTTCGAGGAAACCGCACGTGCCCGCAATTTTCAAGTAGCAGGATTCAGGGCCCCTCTGACAGCCCCAGCCGCACAGGATCAAGCAATCTTCTCAAGTTTTGGCCCACCAAGTCTTTCTTTCCATTCGCCGCATTCGTTGGAGCATGTTTCCATGTTTCTTGGGTTTCTTGTGTTTAAATGTTGTTGTTTGTGGTTTGTGGTTCGCTTGTTGTTTGTGGAATCGCTGTTTCCTGTTCTCACAAATGTCAAACAGCCAAAACTTGATGAGCCGGGCATCGGTTCTAGTGACCCAGCACAAGAAACGCGCCGTGGCGGATGAAGGTCATGGTTCGAACTTCTTTGTTGGCTTGGGATTTGGAGTTCGCACCCGAATTCGACCCGATGAAAACCCGCTTTGAAGCCCAAATCCCCAAATACGCTCTAAACCCGAAACCCGAAACCCTAAACCCTAAACCCTAAACCCTAAACCCTGAACCCTAAACCCTAAACCCTAAACCCAAGGTCAGCTGGGCCTCGCCGAGCGAACTCTGGGCAGGGAGGCGGAAGCGGAAGTTGTGCTCGTGCCTGCGCGGTGAAGACTGAACTCCCTGAACTCCCTAAAACAAACTCCCTGAACTCCCTGAACTCCCTAAAACTCCCTGAACTCCCTAAACTCCCTAAACGTAAGGCCCCCTTTAAACGGGTTTAAGAGCTTCGCACTTTTTGGGTCAGAGTGAGAGTGTCCATTGTTCGGGTCTATGGCTGCGCTAAACTCACAAGGGGCTTCCATCGAGAAGGAGAGGAAGGGTTCCCACTCACCCAGCGCCTAGCATTTTCGGACTTGTGCGGGGAAAGGCCCTAAACCCTAAACCCAAAAACCTAAACCCTAAACCCCTAAGTCCTAAGCCCCAAACCCTAAACCCCTCCACCCGCGCCTCTCCAGCGCCACCGTACCCGGGAAGTGCCGCTCCAGGAAGGCATTTAGCATGGCAGCGCTGTCCTTCGAGTTTGGAACCCACGAAAACTTGCGTTTCGGGCTTTAGGGGGTTAGGATTTCTCATGGGTTCCCCTACAACCCCCTCTATACCACCCCTTTTTTAAGTTCACCCTTACATAACCTTAATTAGGCTTAATTATCCCTAAATAACCGTAACTATGGGGGGAAACTAGAGGGGGCAGCATAGAAGGGGGGAGGTCCCAAAGCGCTTTATCCCAAACCCTAAACCTGGTTTCAGTGGTTGGAGCTTCTCTTTTTCTGAATCTTAGGGCCAGCTCGAGTTTTCCGCTCCCAACCAGCCAAAGATAGGCTGCTCCTTGCCAGATGGGGGGGAGGGGGGGGGGGGTGATCTAAATTCCGGGCCATTGTTGAGAATGGGCTGTATGGGTGGTGTACAGTATTTTCAAAGAAGGGATTGCAAGGTGATAAATGGACAGTGGCAACTTGTCATCCTGTCTAACCCCACACTGCAGGAAGATGCTAAGAACTCCAGAAGAAGGGCCGATAGTTGAAATCAACTCCCCAAAACATCCCCGCACAGAAGCCTGGGCCCTGACAAGTGCTAAACCCTCAGCATCCCTCAGCCCTCAACCCAAACCCTAAACCCTAAACCCTGAACCCTGAACCCTGAACCCTGAACCCTGAACCCTAAACCCTAAACCCCTAACCCTAACCAAGACGAAGCCCCCGAGCCCCAATTGTTCCTCAAAGAGCCACCACTCCGCGAAGTGCAGCGCGGAGATCGATCCTGGCGGAAGCGAGTCTAGGGCAGTGGCTTCAGGGAGCTGATAAAGCCCCTAAACCCTCCTAAGACCTAAACCCGAAACCCTAAACCCTAAACCAGCGTTTGAAAGCCTGCTTTGGGCAAGGCTACCAGCTGGAGGCGGGGGGCCACGCATGCTGGGTTTCGGGTTTCGGGTTTCGGGTTTAGGGTTTAGGGTTCAGGATTTAGGGTTCAGGGTTCAGGGTTCAGGGTTTAGGGTTTCGGGTTTAGGGCAAGCACCAAATGGGTGGAACCTGAAACCGAAGGCTTGAGTTGTGAAGATGGGCCCAGAAAAAATGAGCCAAGGGAGTTTTGAACCGACAAGTTTATACATATCCTGTTTGGGTCTTAGGCTTAGGGTTAGGGGCTAGGGTTAGGGGTTTAGGGTGTATCAGACTTCCTACCAAGCAAGAGCACCCACGACACCGTTCGGTCCTTCCCGACTGAGGCTGTCGTAGACCTCGTCCGCCAATGCTACGCATTTCGGATATCAAAAATCCAGTGTTTAGGGTTCAGGGACCACCTACCCCCCAACTCCAAAACTACTGAAACTATTGGAAGTCCGGGATCACATGGCTAATTATTGGGTGGATACGTTGGAGCGGAGATACCGGAAATTCGAAACCCGTCAGACTCCCTGCGCCATGGAACGGCGTAGCCCTCCTCGCAGCCTTGCCGGATAAGGTGAGCGCGACCTGTTCACCAGAACACCACAGCTGCACGAGTGCCATTAAGATAAGTCTAAGCCACCTAACCTCCTGATACCCAATACTCCCCTCATCGTACAATAGTGCATGAATTGCAAAGGCAACTAGGAGGGGCCTAGAACCTTGGGTGAGCTCATATGGTGATTTGAGGTCTACCCTCTCGACGTAAATCTCGATTTTCGCGCCAGAAATGCCTCGATTGGCGGTAAGCAAAGGGTTACCCGAGACAAATGATTTGAAACAACATTCTTTCACCCAAAAACAAGAACGTTGGAACACAATTCGTTTCATACCGAGCATGGCTCGCCCGTCGAACAACTCCAAACTTCTCACACAATTTCTCGAACAGACATGAACCAACTCAAATGATTTGTCCACTCTTGGCCTTCAAATGTGATTCTGAGACCTGACACGCAACAGAGACACATTTCAATTTGAAATTCGTCCACGACTCTGAATCGTGTCAAGTTGAGGGGTGGTTGTCAGAGCACTAAGTCTCTCCAACGCACAAAAGGCCAACCCTAAACCCTAAACCGCAGGGCATGGAGGTAAGGGCTCCTAAGGCGTAAGAAGGTAGCCTGACCCCGAAGGCCACTGCAAAAACTCACAAAACAGGGGTGGCCTTTTTAGACCCCAAATATCGCACAATCCCTGACAAAAGGCCCCCCCCTCCCACATAGGTACCTTGAACCCCATATGCTCTTCTGCAATATCCCTGTCCTCTCCCAAGCTAGGACGGTGGTCTTGGCCATCAGCGATATGTAAGCTGTGCAACAACTAGAGGTAAGGCATTGTCATGAACCACCCACATTCCCATCACCCACCAGACAATGTGGGTCCACGCATTCAAGACCGTTCTGGAGACAGGAACCCCAAAAAGCCTATATTTTATGGCTTTGGATTCCTTATAATAAGACCGTAGTGGTCGCGGACCCCCGTCGGCTACAAGTCTGGAATCCTTAAACCCCACTAAACAATTTCTTTATACAAAACAAATCTGTGTGACAAGGTGGACAGGAATTGCCAAGTCCAAATCATAAACAACGGGCCAAACCCAGGCCGAAAACCCTGAAAGCGAGGGTGACCTGGTTTTCCAGCAGCGGCACACTGCTCCGTCACGGCGGACGCATCGAGTTTCTCCGGGAGCCTGGGTGGTTTAGGCGTGCAGCCCGCAATCCTGGGTGTAGGGGATTTCGTGTTCAAGGCTTTATTTGCAGGAGGTTTAAGGTTTAGTGCTTGAAACTCGGGATCGGAGGGAATGATAGGGTTGGGTTTCAGAGTTTCGCTAGGGTGCTGGGACCCAAAAAGGAATCGCAACCATCAAGCCCTAGGCTCCAAACCCAGAACCCTAAACCCATAGTATGAAGAAAAAACCGGGAACCCCTTCTCGGGAAGTGTCTTCAGTTTTAAGTAAGGCTGCAGGATTGTATGTCTGCAGTAGGCTCAGTAGGCCAGACATGGCCCGATGCTTGAGAGGAGGGGACTCTGTCTACTCCGGCGGCTGCGAGCAGCAGGTGCTGCCGTTGAGTTCGAGGTTCCGGCAAAGCTTTCTGCCAATCTGAGGCAGTCGGTTTAGGGCTTTTGGGGCTTTTGGGGCTTTTAGTCCTTTGAAGGCTGTAGGGCTTCAGGTTTTTAGGGCTCTGAGGGTTGGCAGGTTTAGAGTTGCGATCCAATGCCATGTCTGCTAGATCCTCTAGAGCTTAGAACGAGGCCAACCCTAGCGCTGTGGGGCATTCTATGGGAGCCCGAAGCCCTCTAAATAAGTCTTCAGCCAAGTGGCTGCAGCTCCCGCACGAAGCTCTCGCACTCCCCGCGCGTAGCTGCGCACAGGCGGGCCTGACCAGCTAGCGATGTTCCTTAGGGTTTAGGGTTTAGGGTTTAGGGTTTAGGGTTTAGGGTTTAGGGTTTAGGGTTTAGGGTTTAGGGTTTAGGGTCCATGCACCGCCTTGCGTTGCCGCAACATCTTCGTGGGATCACCTGGTTATGCTTTTGAAGATCAGCGACCCAGGTTGATGAACGTGATGAGGAGCAGTCATGTTGCTGATGATCGAGCGCCAGCATTTGTTCTATCTCTTGCCTTGCAGATATGTACGACTATTGTCTATTGAGTAGCCAGGAGGGCATCAGCTGGCACAGCTAACCAGTGCGGCATTCCAAAGCATGACACAAACTTGCCCTCCGATAAATCACACATCAGATCTCGTGGCAACCATGAGGGGAAGAACAACTACCCTAAACCTTACACCCCTAAACCCTAAACCCAGCATTCGTGGCCCCCCGCCTCCAGCTGATAGCCTTGCCCAAAGCGAGCTTTCAAACGCTGGTTGCTGCCGAAGCAGCGCAGCCTCCCGCCGACCTCGGCTACATCGGTTAGGGTTTAGGGTTTAGGGTTTAGGGTTTAGGGCTTAGGCTTTAGGGTTTGGGGTTTAGGGTTTAGGGCTTGGCGTCCCTAATATAATACGGCACCAAATATTTAGGGCGTCCAAACAGGGACCCTAATTTTGACAACTACCCATCTAAGCATGGGAGATCGCCTCATTTTCAACATCTGTATAGGTGGGTGGAGGACTGGAGTTGATTTTTACTTGCACGCTTCATGCCCTGGTGCACGACATACTTGGTACGCAGAATCTGCAGCATGAAATCACATGGAGCTTTCTTTGACGCAAGCAATGCTTGCCGAAAGCCGCAGACATTCGAAACGCTGTGAAGGGTACCGACATTGACATCGGACGCTCAATGTGCCTTAAACCCTAAGCCCTAGAACCTTAACCCGGAAATATCGCCAACAAAGCCATTCCCAGCAATGATACCCCAGGGCATTGAGTCGCAATCCACAGCTCCACCTTACATCTAACAGTCCTTGTGAAAGGAAACTTAAAGTGAGGCCAACCCCGGATCCCCGAACCTGAATGAAACCCCAAACCTTGGGATGTCCCCCCTTATACTAGCAATCGAGAATGAGGGGGGGGGGGGGGGTACTATAATCTCTATTAAGCACTGTTAGTATAAAGGGGAACATCCCAACTCAAACCCAAGGAACCAACAGCACGAAAACAAGGGCAACTTTCACTCGTCGTACATGTACATGCTTAAGCTCCAGGGAAAAGCATTCGGCCATAGATTAGGCAATAAAAAAGCTACTCTAGATTCGGCCATAGGCCCTCAACCCTACACCCTGAACCCCGAACACAAGAAAATGGAGCCCGGGACAGCCCATCGAAGTGGTGGCTATCGAAACCCTTAAAACTCGTAAAATCCTTAAGCTTGGGGCTTTGGGGCTTGGGGCTTGGGAATTCAGTCTGGCGTGTAGGGCTTAGGAACCCTCAAGCCGTTGAAGCCCTCAAGCCCCAGGCCCTAGACCCGACGAGGCGCCATGATGCCCACTCTGGAACACAGGGCCTCGGCCTCCTCCATGTTGTGCGTTGTGAGGATGACCTCGATATGCTTTTGTGAGCTGGGGGGGTTTTATGGGATTTATGGGGCTTATGGAGGGCTTGTAGGGTTCAGAGGGTGTTTTCGGGTTTGGAGGCATTGGGGGGGGGGGGGGGGGGTTATGGGATTTATGGGCCTTGTAGAGGGCTTATAGGCTTTGAAGGGTGTTGTTGTGAGCGTTCCTGCGAGTTTAGAGTGTTTAGGGCTTTGGGTTTCGGGCGTTTTGGGGTTGATGGGGCTTGTATGGTTTATCAAGAGCTTCGGGGTTCAGCTTTCGGGCTTATAGGGTGTAGGGCTCATAGCTTTCGCTTTTCAACCGTAGCCGGCCCTACCCGGGTCACGCAGCCTCTCAAGTGCCAAAACCCAACGGCTTGAACGGAAAAAAAAGTGCCACATCCTGAGCCCTAACTCTGCCCTGAACCCAGATCCGAAGCCCCCAAAACCCTCAATAAAACCCAAACCCTAAACATGGACCCTGACATCCTGAGTCCCAAGCCCTGAACTGCCTGAACTCGAAACCTGAATCCCACGAAAGCCCGAATCTGAAAGCTTAAGCCCGCATGGGATATCAAAGTACTCCCCAGCCCTGGCGTGTGACCTGGTCTTGAGGTTAGGGTTAAGGTTGCAGGGTTGTAGGGTTTAGGGTTGTAGGCATGTAGGCATGTAGGGATGTAGGGATGTAGGGATGTAGGGATGTAGGGATGTAGGGATGTAGGGATGTAGGGTTGTAGGGTTGTAGGGTTGTAGGGTTGTAGGGTTGCAGGGTTGCAGGGTTGCCGGGTTGCAGGGTTTAGGGTTTAGGGTTCGCTAACCGAGCTCTAGCTACAAGAAGCCAGGGCAGGTTGAGCTGTAGCTCCCGGCCGTGCTTTCTCGCCGCATCGTTGAGACGGCCGAGATGACATGCCTGGCTTTAGAGTTCAGGGTTGAGGGTTTAGGGTAACTACGCTTCCTCGGGTTCCAACATTGGGGTTGCTAGGGGGCTTTTCGAAAGCGGGAGAGGGGCGGACAACACGCGCCGACCCCCAAGGAAGCACTTGCGGGGTGCTTTTTGTGGCCGGCCGCACACTTCCTGTTGTCCCTCTTTGAGCAAACCCGTTTCAGAAAGGGCCCCCAACCCTAAACCCTAAACCCTAAACCCTAAACCCTAAACCCTAACCCTAAACCCTAAACCCTAAACCCTAAACCCTAAACCCTAAACTCCTAAACCCTAAACCCTAAACCCTAAACCCTAACCCTAGAGCCCTCAGGGCCCAGATGCAGGCCAGTTGCCACATAAGCCGCCGGGCAGCTGGATCCACGCCGGTACCTGGAGAGGTTCTCCTAACTTGGAGCCTCCCTGTCTGAGTGTAGGGTTTATAGGGTTTAGGGTTTAGGGTTTCGGGTTTGGGGCCTGATTGCTCGTAGGCCTAGCCGGCATGATTTCCCGTTTCGGGCTTAAATCGCCCGTGCAATCCTGATGTCTGAAGAAAAACTTGGCCCTCCACCCTGCAGTGTACACCTCAACAACCAACAAAAACCGCAACCCTGAACCTTGAACCGGAAGCCTAAGCAACCCGAAGCATGTTGGAGGGGGGCGGGGGGGGGGGGGGGGTTCTGGTACACCATAAAAAAAACCTGCAAAAAAAACCCTAAACCCTAAACCTTGGCCATGCGGCTCGGCTCATCCAGGAAGACCAACGGTGGGGACGCCATCAGTGCAATGGCCAGGGAGAGCTTCCCTTGGTTCTTCTTTGTTCTTGTGGGTTCGGGCTTTTGGGGCTTCGGGTTTAGGGTTTGGGGTTTAGGCTTATAGGGCTTAGGGTTTCAGGCTTGTGGGGGTTCCCGGGGGGGGGGGGGGTGGGGCGCAGGGCTTTTGGGGTTTTAGGGCTTTTGGGGGGGTTTAGGGGGTTTCGGGTCTCCGGGGCTTAGCCAAAGAGTCCTTGTAGTGTACTGCGGGGCTTCAGAAGTTGAGGCCTGCAGCACTTCGTTTCGGATTGAGGAGCTCATGTTTAGGCGCTTGCGATGGCAAACCCTAAGCCCTCAACGGTTTAGGGTTTAGGGTATAGGGTCTTGGGTTTAGGGTTTAGGGTTTGGGGTAGCTGCCGGGCTGCGCTTGTTCCCGCCGCTCAGGGTCATGGCCAGCTTGTCCACGTGTGGCGAGAGGGACAGGTCCTCTCAGAAGATGGCTTCAGGATGGCGAGGTTGGGAATTGGGGGGGGGGGAGGGGTTTAGGGTTTAGGGTTTAGTGTTCAGGGTTCAGGATTCAGGGTCTAAGGTTCTGGGTACTTCTGCTAAAAGGTGTCGAGAAGGTTGGATTACATCCAATGATCCTGCAGGCAGGGAGGGGGGGGAGGGGGGGGAGGGGGGGAGGAGGGGGTGGGGATAAGATTCCAAGCCCCAAACCCCACGCCGCAAGCCCTGAGGCCCTAAACCCTATATGACTATATGTGTGTTTGGGCATCTTCAGTGGTGGTGGCAATTCGGGAAATGCCCTTCCAAAGGTCCTGCATCATCTGGTCACAGAGCTCCTTGATCGCCTGCATGGCCATGCGCTTAAAGTGGCAGGCGGGTTTAGGGGTTTAGGGTGGGCATACACCCGAAGACTAAACCCAAAAAGACACCTGCAAGGCCTACCCTGAAAACGGTTCCCCCACAAACCCGCAACGCGGCCCCAGGCTCGTGACTGGGGATGCCCTTGATTCGTCCAAAAAGCTCGAGGTGCTCCCGAACCTGTCAGGTTTAGGGTTCAGGGTGTAGGGTTTAGGATTTAGGGTTTCGGGTTTAGGGATTAGGGTTTAGGGTTTAGGGTCTAGGGTTTAGGGTTAGGGGCAGGGGTTGGTTGGTTGACGGCAGTCCAGAGGGTTTTGGTGAGTTCTAGGGCTTGGAAATGTCAGGCAGTTAGGGGGGCTTAGGGGATTTAGGGTTTGGGGTTTAGCGTTTAGGGGGTCAGGGGGCTACAGAGGGTCTAGGGTGTCTCTGGTTTCCTGGTCCCACATAAGGGGTTCTATAGGGTGTCGAAACTCCTAACCCTAAACCCTAAACCTAAACCCTAAACCCTAAACCCTAAACCCTAAGCCCTAATCCCTAAGCCCTAAGCCCTAAACCCTAAACCCCAAACCCCAAACCCCAAACCCTAAACCCTAAACCCCAAACCCCAAACCCTAAACCCTAACCCTAAGGCACCTAAGCCCAGAACACCCTCAGAGGCACCGTGAGGCGGTCGAGAAGTGCGTCGTGCTGCGGGCAGAAGCCGAGAAGGCGCCGCACCTGGCTTAGGGTTGCAGGGTTCCAGGGTTCTAGAGTTTAGGGTTTAGGGTTTAGATTTGGGGTTTAGGGCGTTTAGGGTTTAGGGCGTTTAGGGTTTAGAAGGGCGTAGGGCCCTCAACCCGAAAGCTACAGAAGGAGCAAGAAGCACGGGAAAGAGCAGGGCCGCAAGTGCGCAGGAACTTATGGGATTCCGGGATACAAAGATCCTTGGAAGTTAAGATCATCTCCCGGAGTCACAAGATGTAACCTTAGGACCGGCCCATTACTTGCAGGATTTAGAGCTGAGGGTTTCGGGATGGCCCACTACCCTCGCTGACGTCGCTACAGCCGGTTCGCCAGCTCTCCAGTTCGTGGAACTTTGAACATGGAAGCCCCTACAACCCTAACAAAATCAAACAAACCTCTGCAGATCCGGCCCCGTCAGCCCGATAAACCCTACGGCGTGCTTGGCTTTCGATCCCCACTGAAGCCTTGAGAGGTCACAACCTGTTTCGGTTGAAAAATCGTCCCTTGGGTTCAAGGTTTAGGGTTAAGGAGTCAGGCTTTTCGCCAGTTTAGGGCTTCGGGCCGTTCAGGGCTTAGGGCACCCAAGCTCGAACCCGGGACCTTCCGCTGCTCCTGGACGACGTCGTAGCCCCCCAGAAATGCTTGTCCGCCAGAGGGGAGCACCGCCCCCGTCAGCATGTTCAGCGTGCTGGTCTTCCCGGCCTCATGATCGGCACTCGACCCTGAACCTTAAAACCCTGCAGCCCCAGCCCCCAAAAGCGGGAGGCCATGGGCGTCGGGCACGAACAGGCCCTCCAACGCTTGGCTGCAGGTAGTGGGGACTTGAAGTTTTGGGGCTTCATTTCGCGCCGAGACTACGACTCTCCGGGCACATTGTCATCGGATTGTAAGTTTGGCAAAAGGTCAATGCCCCATACCCCCGCGTCCTTAGATATGATCTCACACATGTGTTCGTGATATTGCAAAGGAAGATGCACGGGTCTCAGGTCTAGGGGTTAGCTCGAGACAGGGCCTTTTGCAACTGGAATGCAGGAGTTTCCGAACATAAAGGTAGCTGTCAATCCCCAAAGAGGGAGAGAACCCCCCGTGAAAGGGCCCTTTCAGAGAGAGAGAGAGAGAGAGAGCCTGTGGGAAGAAGTCGAAAGCCCACACCAGCCTCTGGGGGGCCGCGCATCATTTTTCCACCGCCCTCGTGCTGCGACTTCGTCTGGTAGCCCTGAACCAACCCAGGAAGACCCAAACCCAAACAGCCCCGATTAGCCCTATGGGGGCTCAAGATGTCCGAGTTGGGGGTTCTCTTGTCGGGGTCTAGATGACAACACCCTAAACCCTAAACCCCAAACCCTAAACCCTAAACCCCCAAAACCCTAAACTTCCACCGACACGAATGCTGCGAATTGGGAGCGTGCAGTGCAAGCGGCGTGGGTCCAAAGGTCGACTCCGGAACGCTCGGCAGCAATAACAAAACACAGAGCAGGCCAATAGTATAACAATATAGCAACGATGAAACAGGAGCAAGAGCAAGAACAAGAACAAGAACGAGAACGAGAACGAGAACGAGAAGAACAACTTGAACTTGAGGATTCGTGGATCGGGGATGGGGGGGGTGCCATGTCATGACCTCGCTTCAGACACGGAAGTAGACACCACGCCCCCGCTGAACGAGCTGAGCATAAGAAACGGCAGCTGTCCCTTCAGGACTCTCACGGCAGGGAGTGTCACTTGGAGTGTTCCTCCTGGGCTTTCGGGCTCGGAAGATGGGCATGCGCTTGAAACATACAGAGTCTCCTTCTCAGCGGTCCTCTTTATACTCTCTAAATCGGAGGTTCGGGTTTAGGGTTTAGGGATTAGGGATTGTAACTTGGGGACGTAGGGTTTCGGGGGATAGGGCACGCCAGCCACTCCGTGCACTAGCAGCCGCCAGCTGCGGTGAAACATTGCCAGTGGTACTCACTGCACTAAATCATGCTACAACCCCTCTAAACCCTAAACCCTATAAACCCCAACCCCCCCAAACCCCGAACCCCTAACACCTACATGGCCTAAACCCTGAAGTCGGCAAGAGCCAAGAATCAGAGAATCAACCGCTGTCCAAAGTCCAACCCTTGCTTCCTGAACCCCAACACAGAAAATTCGTCATGGTGCAACAATGGCGGTTTTCGTTTCGCCCCTGATGTCCGCCTGAGATCGAGAACTTGTGGTTGCTATCATGTTCACCTCCCTGGAAAGTGTAAGCTTTGAAGCGCATGATCTTAGCTTTTGGGAAGCCTTCTTTGCAAGCCCTGCCCCGGACGTTTTGCTTTGTGTTTTTCAACGGGTGTGTCGTGCGCGGACTACCCGAAAGATAGCTCAGAACAGAAGCACATGATGAATTAGGATTCGCAGGGAGGCGTACAGACTCATCGGCCACAAGCAAAAACATCGACGTCAGACATTTGGCGACACAGAATCATCGTGGCCTTGTGCCGCCCGGAACTCCGCTTGGCCCGCTTTGCCAACGCCAACAACAAATCGGCAGCAGCGCGCTGTTTGAGTAGGCGTACGCTTGAAGATGCGCACGCCCGCGCCATGTCTGCCTTCCGCAATCCCGCAATGCAGGAACCCCTACACACGAGGAGGTGGAAGGTGGCTGCCCTCAGGTCTTAAGCCCAGATTTCCTGCACTCGAAGATGGATTTGGGGAGCGGAAACTGCGTGCCCCCCCCCGAGTGTGTCGAATGTCGCCTTTTTCTGGCGTCAAGCCCCCGACGCGGTACTGGCAACCGCAGGTCAGCGGCGTCAGCTCCAAACTCCGAGCTGCTCCGAATCCTGGCCCCTTTTCATGCTAATAAATCGAGCCTGTGAAAGGCTTGGACACTGCTGCAACCTGGCCGGGCCCCCCCCACCCCCGCCATTGGCCATCACAAAGCCAAGCGTACAGGCCGTACTTGTACAGGCCGGGCTCGTTTTTTAAAGAACGTTCGCATCATCCCGTCAGTGCCAACCTAGCCAAGCCATGCTGCTTTTCAATCATCAGATTTTTTGTTCGCTTCACGAGCAAGCCTTTTGAGTTAAAACAGAATCGCTCGGCAAGGTGAAAGGCCTTCTATGCAATTGAGGCTTCATGAAACCCTAAATCCTACACCCCAAACCCTGAACCCCTAAACCCTGAGCCCCAGCCCCCTTGTTCTGTCAAAGCCCGAGAGCTGCGTGGTTGCAAAAATACCCAAACCCAAGCGCGTAAAGCTTTAAGACCTTTTGACAGACCTAGACTCCATAACGGTTATAGGGTTTAGGGTTTAAAGTTTAGGGTTTAAAGGCTAAGGTAACGCTAAACCCCATAAGCCCTGAGGCTCTCATTCCAGCTGCATCTTGCTGATGGTCTTGCTGCGAGGGGCAATCCGTTGGGCCAGTATCCTGGGTTGAGGGGTTCAGGGTTCAGGGTTCAGGGTTTAGGGTTTAGGGTTTAGCACTTTGGGCTTCAGTTGGGGGAGGTCCCCTTGCTTATTGATGCTTGCAGTTCACTTCATGGCTTCGTGTGTCTGAACAAGCCCACGTAAATGTGGCCCACCTCGGCGTGATCTCTGTCACCCGGGGGGTGGGCGGGGGAAAGGGGAAAAACACTCCATCCATCTGAGACATGTTTCCGGGACGCTGGAATCACGTACCTGATTGTTCTACAAAGGACTGCAGTGGAAGCTCCTTTACCCTCTCTGTTAAATGCCTAGCTTGCAGTACTGTTGCAGCCCTTCCAACCAGCATCATGCGCAGGCTACGGGGTTCGGGTCTAGGGCGGAAGAGGGTTTTGTGTGTGGGGCCCACTGCTAAGCCACGCGGCTCTGTGATCTGCGAGATGTTGGCATGGACCTTGCCAAACTCTTCTTCCAGCTTCGTCACCTGCAGCCAGCCCTAAACCCTGATCCTTCCTCTTGCGCTCAAAATGCTGTGAGGCGAGACCCCCGAAAAGAGACCCTCAACCCCGAAAACAACACCTTACCTAACCCAAGGGTCCCTGATAAGCCTTCTTGAAAACCTCCCCAATCGTTCCTCAGTGCAGTATGGCAGAGGTTGAGCTAGTGACCTGATGCCTCCCAACCCCAACGTTGTGCAACTTTTCCTGGTGCGCGTGCCAACGCGCCGTACGAGATTCAATGGTTCAAGGACGACCCGCAGACCTTGCATGGACATTGCTTGATGCCCCCGATCTTGCCTCTTTTGGGGTTGAGGCAGGCTTCAGGGCCACCGGTTTGCTTCATAAGAGCCAAGACAGAATCGGGACTTTACCCAGACGGGCACTGTGTGGTTGAGGCTTTGGAGGTTACCCTTCAACAACACCCGTTTGGATGTCAGCTTTGCTGCTTCACGGCCTCCACCCTGATCTCTAGTCCCTTGAGTCCCTTGATAGGAGTATTGAACCCTCCCTGTTATAAGACATTCTTGTCCTCTGGACCGGGGGCCCTTCAAAATCACGAGGATATCAGAGGGTGGATTCGAGCAGCTTCACAAACCCAACTATCAAACTAAGCTCATTCAGCTTTTATGAAACTCCACTGTCTGGAAGCTGCCGCTCTTTCTCGGGCTGAAATTCCCAAACCCGAAGCCGCCTGATTTAAGATATTGGCTGCGGATCCGGATTTATGTATCACACGGGTGGGGGGGGATTGAAGAATTGGGAGAAGGGGCTTTTTGGGGGAAGGGGCTTTTCCTTCAAGGCCACAACCCCCTAAGGTATCAAGCGAATGCACAGCTAAGATCAGATCCAACAAGGTTCCTACTCGAGCACCCTCAAGTTACAAATCAGCCACTTCCTCAACCCAAAACCGACACCCCAAACCCCAAACCCCAAACCACCACACGAGCTTGGTGGACTTAAGATCGAACAACCCCGCACGGACGGTGGTGAACAGCTCCGATCCGGCCTTGTAGCCTAACTTGTCCAAGTTGTGGCTGCTGGACACCGTCTCGCAGGCTTCGGGTTCTCCGGTACAGTGCTTAGGGTTTGGGGTTTGGTCAAAACCACCGACCAGCTTTTGACGGGTTTGAACTGCAGGGCCGTTCAAAGGCGCTGTCGTTATCTAAGAAACAAGGGCGGCTTGCGGTTTCGGATTTGGTGGTTCTTAGCCAACTTACCTGAAGTAGGATGCGTGGATATTTAGGTTGAGGGGCGTGTCGAGGTCGACTATGTCCTACCTGGGTTTCCAGTGCAGCTGAGACGACAAGCTGTCCTGTAGAAGACTGATACATAGGGTTCCGGGTGTCGGGCTTCGGATGGAACTGGAGGCTTGCCCTATGATAGGAAACCAATATAGGATTTAGGGCTTAGGGTTTAGGGTCGGGGGTTAAGGGGGTTTAGGATGATAGGAAACCAATACGAACTCTACACCTCGGCTCTCCCACTTAAAAAAAAACAGTTGGCCCTTAACGCCACAGGCTTTGGCGGCTTCTCCGGCCTCCAGGCTGTTGCTGCGTCGCCGGTTGGCCTCCTTTCCAGAGCTTTAAGTATGCGAGGGTTGACGATATCAGGGTACCTTATTGGGGTCCTTATCATAAGGGGATCCTACTATTTGGTGGTCTCCATTAGGTGCCCCTTCTTATCGTAAACCCTCATTTCAGGAGAGAAGCCCTGGAATCGGAATCCGAGGCCTCGAAGAGCAGGATCCGCAACCTTGAAACTGCGTAACTAAGCACCCTTTGCTACGAGGAGTATTTCTGCTGCCAAGGAGACCCAAGATGGGTACCTGATGTTAACCTCAAATTCACCAAACCCCCCTCAATTGAGAAAGCCCAAGCCCGGAACTCAATTGTAAACCCCCCCCCTCAATTCAGGAACCCCAGTTCGGGGCCCGACTTTTTGTCTATGGGCCCTTTTGGGTAGGTCAGGGCTTGGGGCAGCTGGGGGAAGGGGGGGGGGGGGTTATTTACTTCGAGGTCAACAGTAATATAGAACCAAACCCCGCACTTGCTTATCCCTCAACACCCCAAACCCGGCCCCTGCCCCCGCAAACCTTAGCCCAAGCCCCGCAAAAACCCTGAACCCTAAACCCTAAACCCTAAACCCTATAACCCTATAACCCTATAACCCTATAACCCTATAACCCTACAACCCTATAACCCTATAACCCTAAACCCTAAACCCTAAACCCTAAACCCTCCTGTAGGCCACTTCCATGGTCCATCAGAATGGTCACGGCCTCACGGTTGTTGAGCCTCGGAGTGAAAATCTCCGGTCGTCGGATTCCTAGTTGCTGAGTACCCTGACCCAAAGATTGAGGTGTAGGGTTTAGGGTTTAGGGTTTGGGGTTTGGGGTTTAGGGTTTAGGGTTTAGGGTTTAGGGTGTAGGCCTACTTGCTGATTACCCTGGCCCAAAAAAGGTTGGCCGGATTGTATATACCCCGAAAGGTTAGAGGCTATCTATTCAGCTACTAAGGATTTAGGGCTTCGGAAGTTTCTGAAGTTTAGGGTTTAGGGTTTAAGTACCTGTAAACCTCTAAAACCCCCAGGCCAGGGTAACCTGAAATGATTCACGTCTGTTGGCAATGAGCACAAAAGCTCGGAAAACTCCTGTGGGGACTCTCCTCGAAACTCCTCGAAACTTTCCCCGGACCTGTGCCTTGCACGGTTTAGGGGTTAGGGTTTAGGGTTTAGGGTGTAGGGTTTAGGGAACTTATCCACCCCAAGACCCGAACTGGATGATGGCACCGGGGCTTTGGTGGGGCTTTAGGGTAGAGGCTTGAGGTGTTCCCCCTTATACTAACAGTCCTTCGTAGGGATTCTAGTACCCGCTATCGGAATCCCGAGTAAGGACTGTTAGCATAAAGGGGGAAATGCCAAGTAGAGGCTTGGGTGGACGTTGAGGAGCTGGCAATGAAGGGACGTCCGCGCTCCAAGCTGCGGCTGGAGACTTCTTTGGGGCCAAACAACCGGTCAGGGTTCGGGGTTTAGAGGTTTAGAGGTTTAGAGGTTTAGAGGTTTAGAGGTTTAGAGGTTTAGAGGTTTAGAGGTTTAGAGGTTTAGAGGTTTAGAGGCTTCGAGGTTTAGAGGTTTAGAGGTTTAGAGGTTTAGAGGCTTAGAGGTTTAGAGGTTTAGAGGTTTAGAGGTTTAGAGGTTTAGAGGCTTAGAGGTTTAGAGGCTTAGAGGTTTAGAGGTTTAGAGGCTTAGAGGCTTAGAGGTCTAGAGGTTTAGAGGTTTAGAGGCTTAGAGGTCTAGAGGTTTAGAGGTTTAGGGTTTAGGGTTTAGGGTTCAGGGTTTAGGCTTTCGAGCCAAGTGCTCTTGGCCGACCCTTTCCCAGGTCTACACCATGTTGACCAACTTCTTTGGCTGGAACCCCTCTTAGACTTCCCAAGGATTGAGGGCTTAGGGTACCCCTGCGAATATCCTAGAAGCACCCTATAGTTTCGTAGGCCCCGAATCGTTTAAACTCCACCCAAACCACGACTAAGCCTGTAGCTACCCATAGTGGCCCTAAACCCTAAACCCTAAACCCTAAACCCTACACCCTACACCCTAAACACCACAAGAAGCCGGGTCCGGGGGCCCCCGGCAGGATCTCACTGCACTGCTTCACGAGGCTGGACAGCTCGATCGTGCCGGGAGCTCCCGAAGTCGCCTCTATGGGGTTTAGGGTTTAGGGTTTAGGGTTTAGGGTTTAGGGTTTAGGGTTTAAGGTTTTCTGGGTTTAAGGGTTTGAGGGTTTAAGGGTTTCAGCGTTTTAGGGCGTAAGGGCTAAGAAAGGGTTTAGGGTTTAGGGTTCAGGGTTTAGGGTGTAGGGGTTGAGGGTTTAAGGGTTTAAGGGTTTAAGGGTTTAAGGGTTTAAGGGTTTAAGGGTTTAAGGGTTTAAGGGTTTAAGGGTTTAAGGGTTTAAGGGTTTAAGGGTTTGAGGGCTCAAGGGTTCAAGGGTTCAAGGGTTTAAGGGTTTAAGGGTTTAAGGGTTTAAGGGTTTAAGGGTTTAAGGGCTCAAGGTTTTAACGGTTTAAGGGTTTAGGGTGTTTTTTTTGTTTTCATGCTGTCTTTCCCTTTTTGTTGGGGGGGGGGGGACTGTATGTTTTCTTTTGTGAACATGTTTTTGTTGTTTTGATTTTTGTTTTATTTTTTGGGGGGGTTGGCGTTCAAGGTTCTGAGGCAATGTAGGTGAGTTGCTGTCGGTTTATGAGGTGGTCTCGGGGGTTCAGGGTTGTGGTGGCTTGGGTGGTTTTGGCTCTTCGGATGTTGGTGGTCGGGTAGTAGGCATGCCTGAACGTCAAGTCGCACCGATGACTACCTAACGCCTAAGCCCTATAACCCTAAACCCTAAACCCCTAAACCCCTCAAACCCTCAAAACCCTAAACCCTAAATCCCTAAACCCCTCAACCTAGCCCTTCTGGCCTTCAGCACTCCCTCGCAGAATTCCTCCACGCCAATGGTGCCGCCACCATCATAGTCGAGGAGGTGGAACAGCTCCCTGAAGGGAGAGGGCTTGGGGGTTTAGGGCTTGGGGCTTTAGGTTCTTGAGGTTTGAAGGTCTGAGGGTTAGGGCCCGCGTTTCAGGGCCTCCGGGGTTTGGAGATGTTGGGCCTACGGGTTCGGGGTTTAAGGGTTTGGGGGTTCGGGTTGGGGATTCTGGGGTTTCGGGGTTTGTCAATGCTTCCAGGTTTTGCGGGGTCCCAAGGCTTAGGGTTTAAGCCCGAAACCCTAATACCCTCAACCCTCAACCCCGGCACCAACTGCAGCTGCGAGGCGTTAGATCTCCGCCACCCGTGATCTCCTGCGGCAGGGGAAGCTCTTGTCACTAGCCCGAGTTGAATCCCAGGGGCTCACCAGCTAAGGGTTTGGGGTTCAGGGCTTAATTACAGGTATCGAACACCCCTGATCTGTCAAGCTCCGAGAGTTGTGCGCCTGCTTCGGGCTCACAAACTCCAAGGAAGGCACCAGCTGTGTCCCCACGTTTTGCGCTTGCTTGGGGGGAGGAAGGGGGCGCCTTCTTGGGTCTCCAATGTCTCCATCATAGCAGGTCATAGCCTATTCCGTGTAGCGTAGGGTACACAAACAAAGGAACATGAGATCAACCTGGGACATGACGCCATAGCTCCTGGAGCTCGTGCTGCATGTCTTCCGGAGCTGAGAGGAGCTCCTTAGGGGCTTTAGGGTTTAGGGTTTAGGGTTTAGGGGCTCTGCCCGAAATTCCTTCTCAATTACATCCCCATGCTGGCGCGGACCTTGCGTGCACGCCTGGATTCAGAAACAAAAAGCATTTCAGTTCTGCTAGGTTTCCGCTGGTCTAAAACGTAGGCAAGGGTTTTCAGACAGCCCTCAAAGGCCAAGCACTGTGCTAACAGGGATTCAAAGGGGGTTCACAGTTCAAACATGCTTTTGAAGGGACGTCTTCACGGGCAGTCGCCTGGCATTGAAGGGCTGGTTTACCCCAAACCTGCACCCGTCCCCTAAACCCTAAACCCTAAATCCTAAACCCTAAATCCTAAACCCTGAACCATAAACCCTAAACCCTAAACACTAAACCACTCCTCAAGCCAAGCCACATCCAGACTCAACTCGCCGGAGCCGTCTTCATCGATCTCCAAGAACCTGGGAGAACTGGGCCTCTAGGGTGGATTTTCAGATGCCATGCAATTTCTATATCACACGTAGATCTGAAGCATAAGACAGAGAGATGAGGATTACAGAAAGGTGGTCTGGAGGGCTCCAGGTTGAGGGCCGCTGCAATTTGCTGGGTGCCGGCCACCGGGGCAGCTCTTTGCGTGCTAGAACCCAGAATATCCCTAAAACCCTAAGCCCTAATCCCTACCCCCTACACCCTAACTTTAACCTGAGCCTTAAACTACCCCTAAAGACCGGACATGTGGGCTTGGAGCTTGAGATTTCGGACTTGGGGCCCTCCGGCGCGTTTGTTTTTGCAGACTTCTCAGAGCTACCCCCCATCCCCATCGCCCCCCCTCGGCCCCCACCTTGTGGTTCAGGAGGTTCCTATTTGCCCGTACGGTTCAAAGAGTTCAGGGTTTAGCGTTCCATGCGCTCCTGCCCTTAACCCTGAATCCCATGAATTTGAAAAAACAAAACCGAAATCCTAAACCCTGTAAAACCTTAGATCCCTAAGCCCTATGAACTATGAACCCTAAACCCTACGCCCTAAACCTCATACCCAACTCCAGGCATGCGGCATCTCCTTCAGCTTCTCCATCTGCTTGGCCCTCTTGGCATCCTCCCAGGCCTTTTTAGCCTCTTTGTCCTCGCTGGCCTGCGGGAAGGAACGAGGATCAGGGGACCCTAAACTCTCTTTGAACCTTGAATCCTAAAGCATGAAAAAAACCCAAAGTACCTCAGAACCGTAACCCCCCAAAGCCTAAACTCTTTTTGAACCTTGAACCCTAAAAAATAAATCCTAAAGTACCTCAGAACCGTAAACCCCTAAAGCCTGAATTCGAACTCTAAGGGAACCTCGGAGGTCAATCGCTAAACCCGCCTTGGGCGAGGGCTTATCGGCGAAGGCTTTGGGCTTTGGGGGCTTGGGGCGGGGGATGGAGGTTCCTTTGCCTTTGCTGTGCAAACCCTAAACCCTAAACCCTAAACCCCAAACCCTAAACCCTAAGCCCTAAGCCCTAAGCCCTAAACCCTAAACCCTAAACCTGCTTACCTTGGGGATCCGTCAGAGCGAAGAGGGGGGATCAGAAGCTCGTGGGCACCTTGCCTGGTCGAGAGATGAATTGACCATCACTGCAGTGACCTCAGATGAAGCTTTAGGGTTTTGGGTTTTGGGTTTAGGGTTTAGGGTTTAGGGCACAAGGAAAGCTACAAGAATTCGCACTTTGTGTAAGGTAGGCCCAACAAATTCTGAATGGGTATTTGGGTTGTACAAGTCACAAGGGGACCAGGCCCGAAACCCTGAACCCCAGGCCAGGTATGGCATTGTGCGACCCCAAACCCTCCTCTTCTACTCCAGACCTTGTTATCCGCCACCCTGACTGAACCCTAAAACTCAACCGCTGATATCCCTGAGGCCAGTACCAGGTTCATCAGCGCGATCGAGAGGATGAGTAAGGCCAGGAAAAAATAGACCTCAACATCTTCTGGCTGGGAGGAAGCAAGGTTTAGGGCCCAGGGAGGGAGCAAGGTTTCAGGGCTCTTCGTTTGGGGCTTCGTTTCTTCAGCTCTGGCACTCTGACAATTTAGGGTTTGCGAGCGCATCGGGCAGCTCCCCACCAAGGCTGTATTTTCGCCTGGCCTCATCATGCCGGTCAAGGTATACCAAGTGGGTTTAGGGGCTTTAAGGGTGTAGGGGTTTGGGGGGGAACCTTCTGGAGGTCTTCAAACGGTTTCAGTAAGTTCGGGCTTGGGCCCGGACAGCGAAATCTCGAGTTCTGATGTGGACGATGTTGCTTGCGAGTGTGGTGTGGGCCTACTCGGGATGTTCCCCCTTATATGCTAGGAGCATTTCATAGGGGCACTATAATCCCTATTCAGGACTGTTTGAGGGTGAACATCTCAAAAGGGCCCACGGCTAAGGGCCCACTGAGGCCAAGCGACGAAGCAGATGGAATTCTGCTTGATCAGCGGCCGGTAAATCCCTCCAATGCTATCCATACCTGGCGGTTTCCAAAATTCCGGGGTACCTGGTTGAGGTCCGTACTGTAAGGGAATCCTACTATTTGGGCGTCTGCTTTTTTGCGGTCCACCTGGACATGGCCTGGTTTCGCTTAGGGTTTCGGGTTCAGGTTCGCGGAGGCCCCAGGCTGCTGCGAGACCTTGGCATGCGACTGTTATGGGATTCAGGGCGTTTTGCTCGCCCCCTTTCGGCCGTTGAGCTCGCTCTTTCCCCATTGAGTGACTTGTCGTTGGGCTCTTCAGGGAGTGTACATTCTGAGCTCTTAGTCGGGACTTAGGGAAAACGAGGGACCTTATACCACCACAAACATATCCTCTTCAAAGATACTACAGGGAAACGAATTCCGAAAGTCTCTCCTAAGAACCAGTATGCTTTCGGCATTGCCAGGCGCGGGGCTTTGATCTCCCCTGATAAACCCTAAGCCCTAGACCCCGAAACCCCTAAGCTCCGAAACCTAAACCCTAAACCCGCAACCTGCCGGTAAGGGGGTGGTGCACAAGAATGCTCACCAATCCGATATTGAACCCCTGCGTGGTCTTCTGGAGAAGGGAGGGGGGAGAACATCGAATGCCCTAGGACCTCCATCCCCCAAGCCCCAAAAATACTCTGCAGCATGTAATCTTTGGCTGCAAACACATTGATGTCTTATGCTTATGTGGCGAATATAGGAGCAGCCCTCTCATCCCAATCACTCCCGGTCCAGGCTGCTGAATACCTGCAAGAGCGTCCTTGGCAGATGCTGGCTTCTGCTGGGCAGTTCTCAGAAAAAAAACTGGGGTTCGTACGGTTCGTATGGTTTCTTTGGGGTTCAAAAGGGTGCCTAGAAAGGGACCATAGGTGCAGAATGCGTTCAGATTGAAGCAAAGCCAAATAGTAGCACCAGCATGCTCCTGAAAGCCCTATGTGGCGTGCGACACAACTGCCGTGCGGAGGCCGTGTCGCAGAATACTGCACCCAGCCCTAAGGAATCAGAAGCTTAGAGCTTAGGGTTTAGGGTTTGGGGTTGAGGGTTTAGGGTTTAGGGTTGAGGGTTTAGGGTAAAGGGTTTAGGGTTTAGGGTTTAGGGTTTAGGGTTTAGGGTTTAGGGCATGAGAGCCATGGCCGAGGTTCAGGATCGCATCCATGATGTCGCGGAAGGACCCACCAGCTGCCACGTTGTACCTCCAAGGCGTACCCTTCAGCAGCAAAGAACCCGACAGCCGCCGGAGGTCAAGAAAGCAGACGACTAAGTCCAAGTCCCCCAGTTACTGAGGGCTTGGGATTTCGGGTTTAGGGGTTTAGGGTTTTATGCCTCCCTCCCCGCCGCCCGGGGGCCGCAATACTCATGATCCCCACTAGGCTTTAGAGTATGTTTGGGACTGTGGAACATAGTACTGTAATATCAAGGGGTTCGTTTTGTTTGTATGATTAGGGAGAAAATGAAGAAAAAAGAAGACGAACAAATCAGACACCCTCAGCCCTAAACTCGAACATCTTCAGCCCTAAAAAACCGACAATCCGCAAGCCAAAAGCCCTCACCTACTACACCGCAACTGAACCCTAAACCCAAAAGTGTTACACCCTACAGCCTAAACCCAAAACTTGAACCAAGGGACGGATGATCTAGGGCTAAGTGCGGCTCCACTGTGATGAGCTCCATGCCAGTCACGGCATAGATGTACATCAGCAGCGTAACCTTTAGGGTTTAGGGTTTAGGGTTTCGGGTCTAGGGTTTAGGGTTTAGGGTTTCGGGTTTCGGGTCTAGGGTTTAGGGTTTAGGGTTTAGGGTTTAGGGTTTGGAGCACATGCAGCTCATTCCAACGGATTGGAGCCCAGGAGCAGGGTTGAGGATGTGGGGCTTCGGGGTGTTTAGTACCCTTCCCCCCCCATCGTAATCCCCATTAAGGACTGTTAGCATAAGGGCGAACATGCCAGCAAATTAAACCAACGCTATACAAAGCGGACGACAGCTACCAAGCGCACAAGGTGTCCGGCAAAAAATGTGAACCTGCTACTGGCCACTGACGGAAGCAAAAGGCAAGTCAGGTGCCATCTCAGCTCGTTAAGGCCGTTCAGGCTTCCCAGATTGAGGTGTTGCTAGTTTTGGAGCTTTATGTGAAGCTCGTGTAGCGGCCCACAACTCCGAACCCAATCCTCGGCTCGCCACCAGGAGGAAGGTCCACATGATCGTGCCGATGCTGTGGAAAAGACCTTGGCTCACTTTTCCATGACGATCAGCTGTGATTTTCTTCTCCCTCATGTTCTTGCTCTTCCTGTGCTGTGCCCGCTTCTTCCTGTGCTTTTGACCCCCTTGGTAGCCCAGTAACCGTGCTATAGTAAGGGCACCCTTTTTCGGGTTGCTTACTTTACAAGGGGACCTTGAACCCCAACAAAGGGAAATGGGTACCACTGGGCTACCGAGCCCCACGCAGCTGTCAGAAGGAAAGGGCTGTCATATTTCTCTTGTGGCTTCCAAGCCACCAGGAGCCCCCACCTCCCTTGGGCCAGAACCCCTACATCGAAGTATTCCTCCGGGGAAGCGCTCTACCAAAGATGATGCTCTGGACCATTCCTGAATAATTCAGGGTTTAGGGTTTAGGGTTTAGGGTTTAGGGTTTCGGGTTTAGGGTTTAGGGTTTAGGGTTGAGGGTTATAGGTTATAGGGTTTAGGGCTTTGCAGGCGCAACTCTGGTAGGGTTTAGGGTCTAGGGTTTAGGGTTTAGGGTGTAGGGTTTAGGGTTTAGGGTCTAGGGCTTCGGGTTTAGGATTCGTAAATTTAGGGATTAGGGTTTAGGGTTCGAAGAACCCCACAAGTCGTTGCCGGCTCAAGGGGCCTTGAACCAACTGCCAGAGCGTCTGAAACTGAACCATGAGGCGCAGGGCCCTGCGGTGGGTTTAGGGTTTGGGGTTTGGGGTTTGGGGTTTAGGGTTTAGGGTTTAGGGTTTAGGGTTTAGGGTTTTACAGCGGGTATCTGGTTGAGGGTTTTTTTTGGTTGGGATGTTCCCCCCCCTTTTTCTAACAGTCGTCATAAGGAATTCCAGGACACCCGATTAGAATCCATACTAAGGACTGTTAGTACAAGGGGGAACATCCCAAGCTTAGGGCCTCAAAAGGGTTAAAGGGGGTTTAGCCGGTTTATAAAGGGAGGGCACTGTGAGCGGAAAGGCCAGACCGGGTACAGTCGGTTGCAGTCGCTGAACGCGACCGCAATGAAGGAATTGCCGAAACCACGGCTCCAAGCGTAGCATAGGTTTAGGCGCCTGACAGCTTACGTGAGCACTCTACCATTCAGACACGCTCAGGTTGAGAGTATTTTCTCTTTGCTCAGAGGTGACCCCCAGACCCCCCAAAACCTCCGGCAACAGTAAGAAGAACCACTCCATACCCTCAACCTGTACGCCAAGAACCTTCGCCCTGGTGGCGCAAACGGCACGTTGCAGAGCATTTGGCTAGGGTTGAGGGTTGAGGGTTGAGGGTTGAGGGTTGAGGGTTGAGGGTTTTGGTTTAGGGTTTAGGGTGCAAGGTGCAGGGTTTAGGGTTTAGGGCTGTAGCGGCCAGGCCTTGCCAAGCGCGCCAGGCGAAGGAGTCTCACCTGGAGCCCAACTACGAAAGGATGTAATATAGGGTTTAGGGTTCAGGGTTTCGGGTTCAGGGGAATCATTCCTATTGTATTCCTTATATTAGGGCTGTTTCCGTGAACAAACCTGCCTTATGAAAAAGAAAAACTCTAAACTCCGTCTCGCACTGAGCCTCTACAGATGCGCCCTGGATCGTGTGGGCACCCGGCTCAATGTTCAGCCAGAGGATGGGGCTTCGGGCTTAAGGATGTGAAGGTTGAGGCTTTCCGAGGTTGTAGGCGCTAGCATCAGGATTTCGGTACGTAGGTTTGGCAGCCCTAACCCTAAACCCTGAATAAACCCTCAACTGTAAGGGCTTCACTTGCTAGCTTCTTCTCTTAGGCTCCGACCAGCATCACCTGGTTCAGAAACTCGCTGTTGCTGACTAAGCCCACGATGATGTCCAGTGTTGAGGCCTTGTCATCAAGATTGCAGGCCAAACCCCTACACCCCCCCTCCTAAAACCCTAGACCCTCTAGGCCTCATTCTAAACTCCTCGAAACCCTCCCCAAAGAGAACCCGAGGCAAGACTCGGGGTTTGGGTTGGGTTGAGGATTTGAGGGTTTTGAGGGTTTTGAGGGTCTTGAGGGTCTTGAGGGTCTTGAGGGTTTGAAAGTTTGAAGGTTTTGAAGCCCAGGGGTTGAGGGTTTTGAGGGCTTGAGGAAATGGGCTTTAGAATTCTCCGTAGACAAGCAGAACTGACCCAAGCTGGGCTTCCCACAGCCCTAGGGTTTAGGGTTGAGGGCTGAGTGTTCCCGACCCTCATCTCCACACAATCCAGCCATAAACCTCGAAATTTGCGCGCTCGCTCTTCGCCAGGCCCCCGAGCGCAAACCAGGAACCCGTCGAACTTCACCCTGCAGGGGTGGTGGCTGGGTTTTGGTTTCGGCCCAAAAGGGTGTGGAGTTCGGGGTTTAGGCTTTAGGGTTGAATTGGAGTTTAGGGTTTCGGGGAGGGGCGAGTTTCTGTCCGTCCCGAAACCAAAAACCCTGTAAACCCTACAAAGAAGGCTTCGGGTTTAGGCCCTCGGGTTCCCCGTCTCAAGTCCAAGCGTTCACTAGTCAAGCAAATCCTCAGGCGACGGAAACATACCAGCCCCTAAACCCTAAACCCTAAACCCCAAACCCTAAACCTAAACCCTAAACCGGTGGTTTAAAAAAACTACTTCTCCCTACGTCGTCTCAAGGCCGCCATCTTGCCTCCCACCTATTTTCAGACCGAAAGTGATAGCCCATCTCATGCTGCATACTGCTCCACCCGCGTACCCATAAACTCGCTCTTGCTGGCGGACCAAGCAGCAAAAGGATGGGAGCAACGACGAAGATTTGGGGCTTAGGGTTTAGGGTTTAGGGTTTAGGGTTTAGGGTTTAGGGTTTAGGGTTTAGGGTTTAGGGTTTAGGGTTTAGGGTTTAGGGTTTAGGGTTTAGGGTTTAGGGTTTAGGCTGAATCCTAAGGTTGAAGGCTAAACCCGATCAATGCCCACGGGATTCTGACCTAAGCCCACTGGCTTTTCACCTTCCCTAAGCCCTACTTTTGACCTTTTGACGCAAAAGGCTCGGGTTTGATCAAGGTCCCCCACTTGTTCTGAAACAACGGCCCTGCTTGGTTTGAATAATGCCCGGGAATGCTTTGTGCTCTAAGGGTGTTCATGCATTTTGTGTGTTTAAAGACGTTTCGGGTTTCGGGCATGGGGCTGCGAACCTGCATGCTTCTGTGGCTCTGGGATTAAAGGTGAACTCACTACCTACTCGGCCTAAACCCCCGCCCGAACACCCTCAGCCACCTTCACAAGGAAAGCCACCCAGGACAGAAAAGCCCAGGCTATGGATTGAAGTTTTCAGGGTTTAGAGGTCGTGTTGGGCTTGAAACTCAATACTGTAGGTTCCCTGACATCGGGCGGCTTAGTGAAGGCACAGCCCCAACCCTAACATGGAAGGATTTCGGGGTTGGGATGGCGAGCAAACCCTGGAAATCTAAACCCTGAAACCCTGAAACCCTGAAACCCTGAAACCCTGAAACCCTGAAACCCTGAAACCCTGAAACCCTGAAACCCTGAAACCCTGAAACCCTGAAACCCTGAAACCCTGAAACCCTGAAACCCTGAAACCCTGAAACCCTGAACAGTGCGAGGTGCCAGTGGCTCTTGAGCACAAAGACCCCGTAGACTCCCAAACGCAGGATGAACTCCGTCAGATAAACGGCATAGAACCCGTAGTCCGCCTTGAGCTCAGTTGCGGGGGTTCAGGGTTCAGGGTTTAGGGTTTAGGGGTTGGGGAGTGTACACGGGGTGGAGGGATCAGGGTTAGGAGTTTGGGGCTCTAGGGTTGGTCCAGACCCGTAGAACCCAAATTCTTCGAGGGCGGCGAGAGTCTCTCCATATTTCGGTTGAAACTTCAGATGCTCTAAAGGATCCGATGGGCAAGGGTGGAGGGATTTCTGTGTCGGGAACGGTCACAAAGCCCTCCCTAAAGCCCTCCCTAAAGCCCTAAAGCCCGAAAGCCCTAGGGTACTTCCATCAACGACCGAGAGTCTTTTCGCGTGGCAACGGACGACGAAGGACTCCCAAAAAGCAAAACGCCCTGTGAAGTCAAGCATTTGCGGCCCTGTGGATGCATCCATCTTTAGGGTTTAGGGTTTAGGATTTAGGGTTTAGGGTTTAGGGTTTAGGGTTTAGGGTTAGGGTTTAGGGTTAGGGTTTAGGGTTTAGGGTTTAGGGGCTTTTCCACTGTGAGGCGTGTGGAGGGGGGGGGGGTTCATTCGGGCATACCCGCTCTAGGGAGTCGGGGTACTTACTACTAATCTGTAGGTAAAAAGGGTTCCAGGTAGGGTTTAGGGTGGTAGGGGTTGAGGTTTCGGATTTAGGTCACAAGTGCCACACGGCAGCTCTTCACACAGAATTGCGCCAAGCGTCCAGAATGATCCAGAGAGGAACGCCCGTGCAAGTCAGAGTCGGATCGAGTTGATTCTGGCCAGGCTCGGGTTAAGGGGCTTGTTCAGCGCGTCCTGTGCACTCTTTAGGGTTCAACTGAGTTGATCGTATTCTGCTGGCGCGAAGGGATTTTCGACCTCGAACGATCCAGTCTCATGCCATGCTATGCGGAAGTGTCGCCTGCAGTTTCTCAGCCCGAAGCGCTTGAACCCTATACCGGCTCAAGGTTGAAGGACTACTTCGAGATGTTGGGCTTATGAGGTGTGTGGTAAGCTGAAAGCACCCTGGAAGCTGGAGGCCTGGGGTCCCTTCTTCACAGTGTAACCGGGGATGTCAGAGGATCTCAAGGTTTGTGACTTTCTCAACACTTGCACCCTAAATCCTTATTGTTCTCAACCCTTGCACCCTGCTTGAACTCTAGACCCTAAACCCTAAACCCTAAACCCTACATCCTAAACGCAACCCCGCCCCACTCCGCCTGGCACAAGCAGTCGCCTGTGCAGCCCAACGGCATCTCTGCTCGGACGGACGACTCGAATCCGATCACCACCTTACCACCAAAGGGTTTGGGGTCTTAGGGTCTTAGGGTTTTAGTAGGGTCTTAGTAGGGTCTTAGTACGTCTTAGGAGTCTTAGGGTCTCAGGGTCACTCCCGGTGGTAGATGCCCTCGGCCTCGGTATCTTAAGCACGAAGTCCAGGATAATCCGAAAACCCTAGCTATGAGGCTTGGTTCGGGGGATCCTCCCAGACTGCGCCCCTGCCACGCCCGATCCCTGTGATTGTTGTCACTTTTGACAGCGATGCACCAAGGGGTTCCCTGACATGTTTAAGGTTTAGGGTTTAGGGTTTAGGGTTTAGGGTTTAGGGTTTAGGGTTTAGGGGTTTAGAGGAGGGGCAGGGGCAGAATCATCGAGGGTGGGGCCCAGAAAGACTCTATGCCCATGCCCGCTCGAAAGCAGTCCCAGTTGCTGAGTTTCCCAGGATCACCACACCAATAAGTGTGTCAAAGCCCCACCACGAGATCCAACCTTCAGCGAGACCGGATTTCTGCGCTCGGGCTCTTGCTTTGGGATGTTGGATGAAGGGGGAGGGGGGGGGGGGCTACCCAGACCCTACTTTGTTGTAGCGGTGGTGTTGAAGCCTCTTGTCGGTGTCTTAGGTGTTCCAGGCGCACCTATCCTTTTTTAGTTAACCGGGTTAGGGTTTCAGAGAACCTCCTAGTTTGGGCGCTGAGGTTCATGTAGGAGTTCCCCCAACTTGAAAGCCTAAACCCTCACACCAGATTCAGCTAGGGCTTAGAACCTCGCTCCCCTGATGGAGCCTTGAAGCCGTGGCTAACAGTTAGGGCCTTAGGGCCTTAGGGCCTTAGGGCCTTAGGGTTTGGCATTATGGCCACCTACAATAACTATTTTAGTGGGGGGCCTAGTCGTCTCTTTTGCAGCCACTATGCTTCTTATAGCCAGAGCACCTCCGACCTAAACCCCAAACCCTAAACCCTAAACCCTAAACCCCCAACACCCAACCCTAAACCCTAAACCCCCAACCCTAAAACCTAAACCCTAAACAGTAACCCTAAACCCTAAACCCTAAACCCCCAACCCTAAACCCCCAACCCTAAGCCCTAAACCCTAAAGCCCTAAACCAAGCACCTCGCAACAGGCACCAAGCAAGTCTCCACTAGTAAGCGCTGTGGGTCCCAGATCTGCGGCCGCGTGGCGATGCAGGGCCTCATGAGGGTCATTCGGTTTAGGGTTTAGGGTTTGGGGTTTAAATTAGGGTTTAGGGTTTAGGGTTTAGGGTTTGGGGTTTGGGGTTTAGGATTTCGCGTTTAGGGTTCAGGGCTTAGGGCCCTAAATGTTGTCTAGGCTTGGTTTGAACTGCAAGGAGGCCCTTCCGTAGAGCAAGCTCTGCCCATTGTACACACTGTTCACATGAGCCCTCGTCACGCTATACTCTCAAAACACGATTATGGTGACTTGCAGAAGCCGTTTCTCGATGCGTACGGACTTTGTGGAGCACCTCGTTTCTTTTACAGGTTTAGGGTTTAGGGCTTAGGGTTTAGGGCTTAGGGTTTAGGGTTTAGGGTTTTGGGTTTTGGGTTTTGGGTTGCTTCCAGGTATAAGGGATTAGTGTTGTAGGGATTGGGGGGGTGGTGAGTGTGACAAAATGCGAAATTCTGAGGCCCGACTTGGTAGCCTACGCATATAGCGAATGTGCCCGCTGTAGAAACACCTAGAGAGACAGGACGTAGCCGCGGAGACTTCTACGAATTGAGGGCCTGGACAGGGTCATGATAATGTGGGTCGTACCCAGGCTCCACAGTGGCCTCCGAGAGTGACCCGAAACCTCGGACGAGCTCCCACCTAACAGATGCTTCCTGCCCACGGGCGCCTCCAGAACTGCCCTTGAAAACTCGCAACCCTGAACCCTGAACCCGAAGAGAAGCAGATGCACAGGAAGTCCACCATGGACAAGTTACCGGGCACCTGTAAACGGGGCACCAATATGAAACCGCCATGTCGACAACTGGGCGCCGAAAGAGCTATGTGGGCCCTGTGTGGGCTGCAGCCCGTGGACAAATGCTATGTGGCAAAAACTCAAAACCCTAAAGCCCTAAACCCCCAAACCCTAAACCCTAAACCCCAAACCCCAAACCCGGCCACGGAGCAAGGCGGGTTCCGGTGAACGTATTCGGATCCACCTTCAGAGCCTCTGCCGCGGGGGGGGGGGGGGGGCGGAGAGGCATGCCCTCCACAATCAAGCTTAGGGTTAAGGGTTAAGGGTTAAGGGCTAAGGGTTCGGGGTTAGGGGTTAGGGGTTAGGGGTTTAGGGTTTAGGGTTTAGGGTTTAGGGTTTAGGGTTTAGGGTTTAGGGTTTAGGGCCCTACACCCTCAACCCCCTCAACACCCTCCCTCAACCCGAATGCCTAAGCTCATGCCCCAGAAAACCCTTGAATCTCAGGGTTTAGGCAGGTCGGCTTGGAGTTTGCCTTGTGACTCACCACAGCATCTGAAACCAACATCAGGCAACCTTAAGGGTGGGTTTAGGGTTTCGGGTTTTTTGTTTCGGGTTTAGGGTTTTGCATTTTAGGGTTTAGAGTTTAGGGTAGCTCCGTCAATCAAGGCTCACATGCAAGACGACCTGTCTGCGCATGTGTGCAGTAGTTGGGAGGCCGCAGGCGAGGCTGCTTTACATCGCGCTTGCATGTCGCGCCACTGCCACTTTGCAGCTACTTTCAGAGGGCACCTCCACCCAGAAATGTTTCTAAAGGAAGGGTTCCCTTTAGTAGTCACCCGTAGAAGGACCCCCCCCCCCCACAATGGAACTCACACAACACAACCGTAAACCCTGAAACGTTGCCCCGAAATGGCACTCAACACCGCCAATGACCCAAGCCCGTTTTGCAATTCGGGGTGCCGCTTGAATCTCGGCCGCCTTTCCCCCGAAGCGCCTCCGGTGCGAAGACTTAGAGGGGATTTTGCGGGGCTTCTAAGCCCTAAAACCTAACCCTAAACCCTAAACCCTAAACCCTAAACCCTAAACCGTGTGAATATTGTGCCGGCAGGGGCCCTAATCAGCGGAAGGCCGCCAGGAGCTCCAAAAGTGCTTCCCCCAAAACCACACCAAGCAATGAGCAGACAAAGGATTCCTGCCCAAGCACTTCCACCTCCATCTCTGCATGTAGGTCACTGTCTCTCTCTCTCTCTCTCTCTCTCTCTCTGCGTCTCTGACTCTGACTCTGACTCTGACTCTGTGTCTGTCTGTCTGAGTAAAGCTATAGAGCCGCGTTCTTAAACCCGATACGGCCCTCAAACCGGAACAGGGACACGGCACAGCGCCATGCAATCGAGAGGCAGGTCGTAGTCCTGCAAGGCCCGGAAGGTTGGGACTTCCGTGGGGGTCTTGGCCGATGTCTTCGTAAGGCCTCAACCCCTCCCTCAGCCCTAAACCCTACCCAAGCTGACTGGTCTATGGCTTCTTGGCTTTGTAGGTTTAGATTCAGGAGAAGTGGTTTAGGGCTTTAGGGGTTCGTGCTGGTCGGATACGTTGCAATAGCGCCCTACGAATAGACGATTACGACCCTGACCCCTAAACCCAATTGTGAGCCCTGAGCCCTAAGCCCGAAGCCCGAAGCCCTAAACCCTAAACTCTAAACCCTAAACCCTAAACCCTAAACCCTATGAGTGTCAGCCCCAGTGTCCCGGATCATCTTCGAGAGCTTATTCTTGTATTTTGCGTTGTCGTGGTACACTTCCTTGCCGAGGTCCGCCGTTTAGTGACGCAGGGACGCAGGTTGGGGTGTAGGTTTGAGGGTTGAAGGTTTAGGGGTTGGGGTTTAGGGTTTAGGGTTTAGGGTTTAGGGTTTAGGGTTTAGGGTTTAGGGTTTAGGGTTTAGGGTTTAGGGTTTAGGGTTTAGGGTTTAGGGTTTAGGGTTTAGGGTTTAGGGTTTAGGGTTTAGGGTTTAGGGTTTAGGGTTGAGGGGTGAGGGGTTAGGGGTTAGGGGTTAGGGGTTAGGGGTTAGGGCTTAGGGGTTAGGGTTTAGGGGGTTAGGGGTTTAGGGGTGTAGCGGTTTTGGGTTTAGGGGTTTTGGGGTTTTGGGGTTTTGGGGTTTAGGGGTTTAGGGGTTTAGGGGTTTTGGGGTTGTGGGGTTTGAGGGTTTTGGGATTTTGGGGTTTTGGGGATTTAGGGTTTGGGGTTTAGGGTTTTGGGATTTGGGGTTTAGGGTGTAGGAACTATAGGCTTCAGGTGTTTGGGTACGGGGCTTGGGCTTCTGTGACAAGAGGTGCCCGCCACATATCCACAACGCCGCGCAGGAATGAAGTGTCACAGCCGAGGGGTTGGGAGGGCGCCCGACAACCGTTAGGGTTGAGGGTTTAGGGTTTAGGGTTTAGGGTTTAGGGTTTAGGGTTTAAGGTTTAGGTTCTTCAGTATCTCGTAGTTGCACGGTCCCTGAATATGCAGGACCTTGACAGCGGACCCGTCTATACGCCTTACGTACCCTACAAAACCCATACGCCTCACGTACCCTCCAAAACCCAAGGGCCCATACTTCAGAATCCTTCAAAGAAGATACGGGACCATAACAAAGGGTGCATCCTAATTATGGCGCTTATTTTTTATTCATAAGGGCACTGAACCTCTCGGTAGGATGGGGCTTGCCTCAGCCCCATAAACATCCTAGATCCCGGCACACAAACAGAAGTCGTAGATCCCTGCGTTTGCTAAAGCACCCCAACAGCTTGGAAAAGCCCTTTTGAAAACTATAGCAAACCTTACTACAGACAACCGCAACCTCTAAACCTTGCAAGAACCCCAAAACACCCTAAAAACACACGCCGTGCTTCCTAAACCCAGCAAAAGCATTGCGGTCGGCCTTGAGAATATGTGTATCGCTCACCTCTGCCACGTGCGGATGGCCCTCATCCTGGTTTGAGGGTTGCTTTCAAGGGTTTAGGGTTCAGGGTTTAGGGCTTAGGGTTTAGGGTTTCGGGCTTGGGGTTTTAGGAAATTTGGGGTACCTTTCCATTGCAGGCGTGTTGTCAGCTCCCATGTCAGGATCTGGGGACGTATATAGGACCCTTAAGGGAAGAGAAGTAGGTAACCCAAGGTTCCCCAATACTCCCCACTGCTCCCTAAGGCTCCCTAAGGCCCTAATGCTCCCTAGGTCCTAGGTAGCTGGCCCCCAGCAACCCCCTTAAGAACCCTGTAACTTTAAGGCTTCGAGACGCTCAGGGTTTAGGGTTTAGGGCTTAGGGCTTAGGGTTTAGGGTTTAGGGTTTAGGGTTGAGGGTTTGGGGTCTAGGGTCTAGGGTCTAGGGTCTAGGGTCTAGGGTTAAAGGTTCAGGGTGCCTTTGGATTTTCATTAGCTTTGCGTAGGGTCTAGGGCGATTCCCGGCCAAGAGGTTCACCCTGTAAATCTAAGCCCAAAACCGTGAACCCTGCACCCCCTGAACCCTGAACTCTGAACCCTAAACCCCGAACCCTAAACCCTAAACCCTGAAGCCTGAAGACCGGTGAGTGGGCAGGATGTCCTCTGAGGAACCATGGTCGGGGACGTTCGGCATCTTTCCCGCCTGCCAAGGGGTTTAGGGTTTAGGGTTTAGGGTTTAGGGTTTAGGGTTTAGGGTTTAGGAACCAAGGGTCACGGAGTGGTTCTCGCTCTCTCTCTCTCTCTCTCTCTCTCTCTCTCTCTCTCACTTGGATGCTAAACCCTACGATCCCTAAACCCAAAACTCTGAGTCCTGAACCCTACAAAGCGCCTTAAAGGAGTTCAGGTTCCAAAGCATTTCCCAGTTTCATGTAGCTACTAGAAACCAGTAAGGCAACCCGAAGTCCTGAACCCGAAGCTGCCGAGCCTGAAGCCAATCACTTGTCACATGTCAGCGTATCCATAAACCCCAAAATAAACCCTAAACCCTAAACCCCCAAACCCTGCTTCCTGTGGCTCATCCCAGCCATCCCGGCCGTTCATGGCCTGTCGGGGGAAAAAGGTCTGGAAGGATTTGGGAGTTTGCGGGAGTCAACGACTCAAAGCAGTCAGTGAGTGATTCTACCGTCTTCGACAACGGCTTAGGTACAGCCACGTGCGCGCACGCTACGAAATTTTGTTTTTTCAAGGTGCTCCCCAAGAGCTCTGATACAGAGAGCTTCGGGTGAGCTTCGGCCTGAGACTCAGGCAAACGTTCATGGCTGCTGTCTTTTTTCGGTCTTGTGCCCTCGTACGTAGTGGTAGATAGTGGTAGAGGCTTGTTCTTCGCCGCCCTAAGTGGAAACCCGACTCTTTTCTCCTTGGCTTGTGTTCATCATAGGCAGAACCGCTGCCAACCAGTATATCGGAGTCGAGCTGAGAAGCGGCGGGTAAGTGCCGTCTTTTGACACGATGTTGTCCGCTGTGGTGAGGACGCCATAGGTAATGATTTGCTGAAGAGCGGGCACTGTGCTAGGGTTTAGGGTTTAGGGTGTAGGGTTTAGGGTTTAGGGTTTAGGTTAGGGTTTAGGATTTAGGGTGTAGGGTTTAGGGTTTGGGTTTAGCAGTCCGGATCTTGGGATGAAAATCCGTAAGAAGGTCAGCCGTGAGATGTGGAGAAATGCTTTGGCCAACTTAACGAGCTGACCAGTCTACTATTTGCTCAAGAACCCCAGAAAAACACAAAAAGATAATCCATACATTACCCTTATAAGGAAGCATCCACCTTGAGATCCTATCCTTGTTCACCCATCACACCTTGAGACCCAACCTCTGTTTCCAAGCCACAAAGAACCCACCCTGGGGACCCCAACATCAGGTTCTCCAGCTATAACCGTGTAACACCTTGGAATCATGAGCCAGGAAACTAGACCATTGAGCCCTTATAGCTGGTTAACCTTCCCAAAAGCCCTTAATTTTAATATTCGCCTCGGCTTCCTGCCGAGAAGCGTCTGGAACAAGCAGACCCGGATCGGGCCTCCTTCCCCCCAACCCAACCCCCCCCCCTCACCCCCCCCCCCCCCCACCCCCCCCCCCCCCCCCCACCCCCCTCCCCCCCACCCCCCCCCCCCAGCCCCCCCCACCCCCCGCCTCACCCCCCGACCCCCCCCCCCCACCTGCTCTGCCCTTCCTCTTTCCTCCTTTCCTGTCCTGGGGCCGGCCTGGCTGCCGAGGCGGCGCGCGCAAGCGTTTACAATTAAATGTAATGGTAAGGACGCAGGACGCACGCATTCCATTTTGACTATAAAATTTAGATCTTTTGCCCACACCCAGTTCTTTCTAGCGGTTACAAATGATTTCCTCTTCCAAAATCCTGGTTACGTTCTCTGCGCTCGGTAAATTCACGCGTTCATTGCATTTCCTTGTGATTTACTTCGCTTGTTCACTTCACATCCTATCCACGGGGCATGATACTAATACTGGTGGACTGGACGCATGAATCTACTGTCATATGTTTATTCTCTATTGTTTATGTTTTTCCTTGTGTTCTTCGTCTATTTGGATGTAGGCGGCTGGTAAGTTGGGTGGAAGGGCGAGGATCCAGGTGCCTGCCCCATTCCGCCATGCTCCTCCGCAAAGCGCAGACCTGCCCTGACCTGGAAACGCCTTCTGGGAGTCACGAAGGGCTTCGGAAGGTCGGTAGGGTGAGCACCGGCTTGGACTTCGAGTTCCAGGGGGCTTCCAGCGAATCTTGACGGAGTTCAGGGTTCAGCTGATTCAGCTGAAGTGAAGGCCTGAAAAGGTCCAAGAGTTTGGGCTCTAGAGCTTCGGGGAGTTCAGGAACCCCAAGGCCTAAGCCCTAAACAAAGAACCCCTCGAACTCTAAACCCCAAACCCTAAACCCGAACCCTAATCCTAAACCCCAAACCCTGAAACCTAAACCCAACACTGCCCCAGCCTCTCCCCTCAACGGCACCGGTTGAGGGGAGGAAAAAGAAACACGCTGTAAGCCGAAAGGAACCCGGAGGGTCGTGGGGGTTGTGCTTGGGTCAGGGTTGTGGGTTTAGAGTTTAGGGTTTAGGGTTTAGGGTTTAGGGCTTAGGGTTTAGGGTTTAGGGTTTAGGGTTTAGGGTTTAGGGGTTAGAGTTTAGGGTTTAAGGTTTAGGGTTTAAGGTTTAGGGTTTAGGGTTTAGGGTTCAAGGTTTAGGGTTTAGGGTGCATAGAAGGGAAGCTCGCTGGTGCGAAAAGCACCCGGGCCGCTCGCTTGCGTTAGCATGTAGTCGCACCCCAACCACCCAAACTATTCTTAGGGTTCACCCCCCAAACCCACCTCAAGGGGGGCTTTCTTGCTTTTTACAGAGAAGAGCAGGGTGGGGCCTCCCGAGCTTTGTGGAGCCTGTCAGAAGGTCGCAGAGGGGGGTTCAGGAAAATCCCAAAGGCAGCAAAACCCAGCACATTTTCCTGGGCCGGAAGCTGGGACCCCCCTGAAACCCCCCTGAGACGCCCCTGGAACGGTCCTGGGACCAGGGTCAGGGTGGGTCCCAGGCGGGTTCAGAAAGAGGGGTCTCGCCAAGAACGGGTCTTAGAGGGTTCCGGGGGTTCCAGCAAGGTCCCAGAAGGTCCCATCGTGCAGGGTCTTTTTTTGGGCGAATGCAGGAGGCTTGCTCGGGGACCTCGGTCGAAGCCTCGAGCCCATGTTTTAGGGTTTAGGGTTTATAGGGGCTGGAGGTTTTGGGCCATGGGATTTCAAGCTCTAGGGATTCGGGCTTCGAGGACTTTAGTACTCAGGGGGTTTATAGGGCTCACGGAGTTCATAAGCGTTTAGAGGGTTTGGAGGGCGTATAGGATTTACAGGGTTTACAGGGTTTGTGTAGTCTGCAGGGCTTAATGTGGGGCTTGGGGAGCATTTTGGTCTGATATGTGCTTCGGTGGTCTATTTCAAATCCGAGCTGCACCATTGATGCCCAAGAAGCCGAAGCACTCGCCCTTCCCAGCGGGCCCGATGTAGGGAGAGTTGCGGGCTCGGGCCCGAACGCGAGGAGGACCCTCACCCGAAGACCCCGAAATTACCATGCTCTAAACCCAGACCTCTCTGCTCAGCTTTTCTAAGTCGGACTATGGACTGAAACCCGAAAATCTTTTCAAAACCCAGTAAACGGCAAAAGTCCAAGGAGCCTTCGGGAGCCCGTAGCTCAGCGAGTGTACGGCCACCTGGCTTTCGGTTGAAGGGTTTTCCCTCTTGGGGTTTACGGTTTAGGGTTTAGGGCTTAGGGTTTAGGGTTTAGGGTTTCGGGTTTCGGGTTTGGGGTTTGGGGTTTGGGGTTTGGGGTTTAGGGTTTAGGGTTTAGGGTTTAGGGCCTCTTCTCAGGTCTCTTTGCTGGTTGAGGCTAGCTAAACATCTTCGGGTTTGGGGGGATCGATGTCCACCTACGCAACACGCAAGAGGGTGGGAGCAGAAAGGAGAAACTGAAGCTTTGGCATGCAAAACTGCTTCGGGGTCGACTGCTTGCTTCGTTCAGAGTTTGGGGCTAGGCCCCGACAAACCCTGAAGTCTAAACGACCCTAGACCCTAAAGCTGAGAATCCACGAGGCCCAACACATGACGCCTCGGTTCGCTGCACTGTTCTTGCACACAAACCCTAAACCCTAAACCCCAAACCCCAAACCCCAAGCCCCAAACCCCAAACCCCAAACCCTAAACCCTAAACCCTAGACCTGACGTTTGATGCTTCTCCTAAACTGAAGTTCCATTTCAAGGATAGGATTCCTGTTTACGAAGGTCCCCAGAAGAAGTTTAGGGGTTAGGACTTAGGGCAACTAAAGACAACCAACTGCGCCCAGACAAGACTGGACTCTGACCCCCTGCCCCCCCCTCCCACCTTCCCTCCCCCCCCCCCCCCCCCCCCCCCCCAAAACAACAGACAGGCGCGCCAAACCCCAAACTCCAACCCTCAATGGCGCCTTGGGATGGCCCTCGGGCGTGCGGTAGACCTGTGCTGGGGTGATGGCGCGAGGGTGCAGGCACTGGGGCTTCGGGGCTTGCTGGTTCTTCGCCTTACTAGGGAATGAGGGAATGAGGTACCCCTAAAGATTCCCTTAAAGTGTATGTATACAATATGCATATATATATAGGGGACATAAGGTACTAATACTAGTAGAGATTGGGGAGACTAAGACCATTCTGGCCGCAAAGTCCGCGGTCTGTCTGGGCATGTGAATGCGCAGATGTTTTGCAGGGATGTTTGGGGGGCGGGGGGGGTATGCTCAGGGGTCCGCCATCAGAATCCTTGCAGCCTGAAGTCCCCCCGAATGAACTTGCGAAAATTATCAAGGGTTCGCTGTCTTTCGGTGTGCCCCTTGAACCGTGGTCCTCAAAACCACCATGGCAAGCCACCCTTAAGGCCAACTCAGCTTCCCTCCAAGGCGCCTTGCGCAGTCCCAAAAGGCGAACCACGTCCGCGTCGCTCTCTGACACTCGCCGCCGCTCATTGGCGACATCCTCGTCCTGAGCAGCAAGCTAGCGCCCGCCCTCCGAGACTTGCCGCCGGTTCTGGAGTCAACCACTTCAGAGGTGTGCTGTGATCAAATATGCATCTGAGAGTTCTGTTATGATGTGAGCCAGCGCATTCGGATGTCGAGGTGTGCATGAAGCATACACTAAGTGAAGCATACCCTCAGTGAGTTTATTTCTGGATGCCGCTATTGCATGAGGCACATAGGCCGAAAAGCGCAGGTAGTGAACCGACTGTACATCCCGGTTGCCCTTGGCGTCTTTCTCGTTGGATTGTTGGGTTTGGAGGACGCTCCAACGAACTCTGTCATAACTCTGTCAGACATGGTTTTTCGGAAAATTTGGAAGCCCGAAAACATTCAAATCGTAGGATTCCCTTATAATATTATAATCAGGAGCCCCCAATCAGGTACATTCGCTTGTAATAAGGACCCCCAATAAGGTCAATCCCCTTATGAGAAGGACCCCCAATAAGGTAAATTCCCTTATAATAAGGACCCCCAATAAGGTAACTTCCCTTATAATAAGGCCCCCATAAGGTAGCCGAAATTCAGAAACCCCCAAATCGCTTGTTACCCTGTGAATTGCCTCCTCTGCCGGCACTTCGTTACCAACAGGATCCAGATGGCCTCAGCTGGGGTTTGGGGTTTAGGGTTTATGGTTTAGGGTTTCGGGTATGACCTGTGATCTTCGGGGTTCAGGGTTTAGAGTTTGAGGCCGAGGGCCTGGGGCTTTACATTCGAGTTTACGGGGTCAGGGTTTGGGGCCTAGAGTTTAGGGTCTTGGGCTTGGCTCAGTCTATGAAATCTCTGAACCCCGAACCGTGGCTTGGCTCGCAACTCTCTTCTCCCTAGCCAGGGGGATACGCAACCCTATAAACGTATAACTTGGGATGCTCCCCAGATATACTCACAGTCCTTCGTAGGGATAATAAAAGGGGGTACTACTATCATCCCCACCAGGGACTGTTAGTACAAGGGTGAACATCCCAACCTACAACCCGAATAGGAAAACGAAACCTCCAAAAAACCCTATCTGAACCCTTGAAAACTGTTCAACCCTGGTAAAAACCCTTTCAAACACTCAAGCCGAATAGCCACTAACCCTCAACCCTAAACCATAAAACCAAACCTCCATAGCCCAGTCCCAGTGAACCCTATGCCTGACAAACCAAAAAACACAAAGACCCCCCGCCCCCCCGAAGTCCACGGCGGAACCCTTCAGCTCAGCCGCTGAAGCCCTTAAGTACAGAACTTTGTGTAGCCGCCTAGCTGTCTTCGCTATGCTGTAGGGCTTCAGGCTTGTAAGTTTGTTAGGGTTCAAGGTGGAACCGTGGGCTATGATGTCACAGAAGTGCACTGGGGATAATGCTGGCGACTTGTTGGGGGCTCCCGTGGTTCCTAGGCAAGCGGCGAGACCAGGCTGCCAGAGGTGAGTGCGCCACAACATCCACGAGCCTAGTGTTGGGTGGGGGGGGGGAGAGGGGGGTTTAGAGTGTTGAGGGTTTAGGGGTTCGTTTGTTTAGGGTTTGGGAATTAAGGAGGCGTTTGGGAAGAGGCCTCAGCTTCTTCGGACTTCTTCAGGCTTCGAGTTCGGGTGCCTCAGCCTGTAGGTCAGGGGGTACTGAAAAACCCAAAACCCCAAACCCTTAAACCCTGAACCATCATAAACAACCCCAAATCCTAAACCACTTAAGCCCTAAACCCTACACCCCCAAAACCTTGAATTCTGAACCCGAACCCCCTGAACCCTCAACCCTATCACCCTACCACCCTACAAGACTACCCATCACCAGCCCTCGGTTCCAGGCCTGTTCTGTCCAGAACCCCAACAAAAGAAGCCTCCCACACTCCATTTGCTGAATTCTTGGGGGGGTTTTGGGGTTTGGGGAGTGTGGGGAGTTTAGTGTCCTTTTGAGGTCTCTACTCAAGTTTTGCGGTACCCGAAAAGGGCCCATCCAAGGAGACTGCAAGATCCAGCCCCCTCGCGGCTGGGAATCCAACACAGCTAAAGCGAAGTAGATCGGTGCGAGGAGGTACCTCTCATCCGGGCATGTGCAGGTGCTCCCCTTCGGCGTCAGGTTGCTTCGGTTTGCCCTAAACCCTAAACCCTAAACACTAAACCCTAAAGAATTGAACTAAAAGAGGGGCTGTTAAGGGGACTCTATGTGGGGATGTGTGGGGGCTATTTGGGGAAAACTGGGAGCTTTCTCTGGCTTCTCCGGATCGCAAGACAAAACCCTTGCGCCCCTAACAACTGTGGGGAGGATTTAGGGTTTAGGGTTTTGGGAGCGGTTTACTCTACTGGCACTTATTCCAAGGAACTGAACTAGCAGGTGCTTTACAAGAACCAACCAGAACTCCCTTCATATCCTGAAGGCTTAGGCATCTCTATGCCCTGTTTGCAAGGGAGCGGCACAGGCAACTGGGTGGTTGTAAATGAAGGCCCTTTGTTCTCTGTAGGGCTTCGGGCTTCAGAAGTAACAATCTCTGACAAAAAGGAGCCATCTCAGGCTTGGGTTTTACAGAGTGTAGGGTTCAGGATCGGCCAAACTTCTTCCCCTGCGCGCACAGGAAGAGGGCATCCTTGCCGGCCACGCCCCAGCCCAGCAGATGGATATCCTGTCGGCATACCTAACTCGACGCTCCTGAAGCCCTAGAACCCTAAAGACCTGAACCCTACCCCTCACGGCCCTCCGTCCGGTCTTGGGATCGAACTAGGCTTACTGGCTAGTAGGGAATGGGGGGAAGTGGATACCCTAGATGACCCCTGATTCCCAAGTTCCCGTTTGAGAAATCGCATTCTTGATGCCCTCAACATGTACATGAACACACAGACTCTAACAACAGCCCTCTGGCAACCCTACGATGACCCCTACGCAAAGGTGTGGGTTTAGGGTTTGGGGTTTTGAAGCCTCCTACCACCAATATGGAACAACGGGAATACTGAAGTTTGGGGGGGGGGGGGGGGCTAGGACTCTAAACCCGAAACCCTCTAGGATCCCTTTGCACCTCAACGCCCAGCTGCTCGGAAATCACCGAGTTGGTGCAGATCCTTCGCGGCAAGGATGGTTTGACCAGGCTCCAGGGCTCAGGGTTTAGGGTTTGTAAGGTTTTGAGTCTAGGGTTTCGGGTTGAGGGTTTGTAGGGTTTGTGAGCTTGGGCTGTAAGGATTACAGGATTTATGGTCTAGGGGTTGGTAACGGTTAGAGGCGATCGCGAAGGGGTTGGAGCACCACAGCTTGCTGTGTGAGGCCAGCTCTAAACCACTCTGATGACTTCGTTTCGGCTCTACCGCACCCCATCAACATGAAACATTGATCACTGAAGCCCTAAACCCTAAGCCCATAAACCCAACCCCAAAACCCGAAAAGTCTAATTGCGCCGGGATGCTCGAAGAGGCCGTGCCCGAGACAAAAGCCCGGAAAGAGCCGATAGATCCTTGAGCTTGGTCAGGTAGGTTGGCCCTAGAAACCTTCCGAAAAAGAATCCGAAACATTGCTAAATAGGATCCTCTAAACCCAGTACGTGGAAACTGAACCTCCCAAGGGCCTGGTTCATTTGCATGCACAAGGCTTACACGTTTAGGGTGTAGCTCAACTTTTTCATGCTCAACTGTGCACAGGATTCACCGCGAGCAATACCGGGAAAACTTTCCAGTAGAGATAAGAAGCCACATCAGCGATGCATTGACGTCCTCAGGGGCTTGAGTGGAGTTTCGTCTGACAGGAAGTTCATGCGCCAATCTACACAGCTGCGGAAGCCCGCGGTTTGGGGTTTAGGGTTTGCAGGGTTGGGGGTGGGAATGGCTTTGGAATTTGGGGCACTTCGTAGGCAAGTTACCACAAAGAGCTCGGAGTACAAAGACCCCTGCAAAAATGACCCCAGACGTCGCCGAGGCGCCTGGATATGCTTGCGTGGTCCACGCAGAGCCCCAACTCCCCCCAACCTCAAACCCTTCAAGACAGCAGCGTGTCAGATCCTGACATCAGAAGACGAGAAGAGACACTTAAGGGTGTGTGGCTTTAGGGTTTACGGTTCAACTCACGGGTTTGTGGCCCTAGCTTTAGGATTCAGGGGGCGTAAGAGTGCTTTGTGGGTTCTAGGGCTTGGGGCAATGGGGGTTCCACATCTTAGGGCTGGGCATACGCCGAGTTGAGGGTTCAGGGTTTAGGGTTCAGGGTTTGGGGGGTTTCAGGTTTGGGGTTTAGGGTCTAAACCTCGGAACTTAGGGCCTAGGATTTGCCCCGTCAACGACCACTGGCCCCCGATCTCGCGCGCGCCTTTGTGCTCTCAATCCTGGGCGGGCGCTGGACGTTTAGGGAAAGAAGGGACATTGAAACCCTAAGCCCTAGCAGCTCAGGGTTCAGGGTTGAGTTAGGGCTCTGGGGTGCTGGTACGTTCCAGCGTGACCACCTTATAAAAATAGCAGACGAAGCCAAGGAGCAGGTTCAGGATGTAGCTGGTCAGCATCAGCAGGAGGCCCGTGAGGAAGTTCACCACCTAAGGCTCCAGGAGGCGCGCAGCCCGAGCCCGAAGCCCCAACTAAGGGGTACAAGGAGGGACCCCTAGAGAACCTCTCTCTCTCTCTCTCTCTCTCTCTCTATATATGTATATATATATACCTTGCATAGCCCCTAGGAACCGAAGCAGCCCCTAAATAAGCCCCCAAATAGTCCCTAAGGTCCCTTATAAGGGTCCATCCTTTAGTCCCTTGGCCAAACTAAGCCTTCAAGCCCAAACTTCCGCTCTGTAAACCCGGAGTTTCAGGGCGAAAGGTTTTGGGAAGAGGGCTTCACAGCGGTTCGGGGGCAAAGGTTTGCTTTTTGGCGAAGCCCCGCTCGGCACAGCACGGCCTCAGAGGCCTAGGGTCTTGGGGGTGCGGGGAGCCAGGGGCTACGGTATAGGGCTTAGGGTGGGTTTAGGGTTCAAGCTTTCAGGGTTTAGGATTAAACCTTAACGAGTTGAGGCTTGGATTGGGGTGATGAGCCTAATTTTCAAAGCTTGCCCCGGCAGAAGGCCTCTCACCCTTCTCAGGTTTAGGAAGACTAAATTTCATGCAAACTCCCTTAACCCCTAAACCCTAAACCCGACACTCTAAATCCGAAACCCTAAGTCTGAGGGCACACGATAACCTGGGCCCGCTGGCCAGGGAAAGGATCTGCGCTGAGGTGTGCTTCGAAAAGAGGAATGACAGCCTTGCAGCTCGGCTCAAAACGCCGGAGGTGCAGGATTTGGGGTTTAGGGTTAGGTCCTTTAGGGTTTGGGGCCTGTATGGTCTCGGGTTTCGGGTTTCGGGTTTAGGGTTTTCATGTATAGCTTTCCTCTCACATAGTTGCTTGCGATCCCAGGTTCCTCGGATCGAGCTTTGTTCTCTCGGATTTGGGGGGCTTCATATCTTGGGCTGGTGGGGCCCTGGCCCGAAGAGGTTGCTTTTGGAAGGGAAAACGTTCCTTCTCAACGGGGGGTTCAGAGTCTGGCCAAGGGGGGGGCCTTCGAATACTGTTCCGCTTTAAGAAGAGAACCACCTAGACCAAACTAGCTCTTGAAAAGGTCAGAGGGGCGCCTTGACCAACATGGGCTTTTGAACTAAAGAAGGTACACTTTCCCTCACAAAAGGCAGTCTGATATTTGGTCACAAATACTAGCCTTGTGGTGAAAAGGTCGCCGGGAAGGCTTTCGGAGGTTGCTAAGGTGTCCAGGGACTTCCAAAGCTCACGGGAAGCTTCCAGGGGCTCCCAAGCAGGCCTCCACAAGGGCTTCGGGGGCGTTATTTTTTCTGAAGGCAACTCTCCCTCTCAAGGAACGGGCAGAGTTTTGCCCAGGAGGTCTCCGAATACCATTTCGCCTTGAAAATTCGGTGGCAACGGGGCCTTTTGAAGCTTTTGCACTGCCAACACTCCTCAGCACTGTCGAGGAGGTTATGGCGAAGGACGCCACCCCTCCCCTCCTTCCCTCCCTGGGTTTAAGGGTTCAGGGGTCGGTTTAAAAGAGTTTTTGGGTGTAACCTTAACCCCCTGCATGTGTTGAGGGGGGAGGAGGAGGTTAGGGGCTTGGTGTGCGCAACACCTGAACCCTTAAACCATAAACCCTAAACCCTGAACCCTTGAACCCTAGACTTAAGGGATATGTGCGCTTGGGTTCTACTTGTAGGGTGTTAGGGTTTAGGGTTTGGGGTTTCGCGGTACCCCAAGACGCCCTCATCCTTGTCTCTATAAGAAACGGAATAATCACCCCATCCCAGATTTTTGGAAAACCCCCCCCCCCCCCCCACATCACGTGCCACCAAGAAGCAGGTAGGAGAAAGGCGCAATTGCTAAGCCATAGCCTGGCATGATGAGGGAAAAAGGTATAGGGTTTAGGGTTTGGGGTTTCGGGTTTAGGGTTCAGGGTTTAGGGTCTAGGGTTTAGGGTTAACCCTCAACTCCTAACTCCAAGACCTCGTAAACCCTGAGTATAGGCGAAGTTCACCCCCAACCATTCCGGTATCAGCAACCGAGAACATACACCCAAAAGCCCCAAACCCTCAGACCCAAAACCCCTAAACCTCCCAAAATCGCAGAAGACCACAGAAAAGATGCTGGAAAAAACGCCCCTGGCAAACTCCAAGTCTATTCGGGTTGGAAGTATGGGCCTCTGGGTTATAGTTACATTCCCCCGCAACCCCCCCCCCCCCCCCCCCCCCCCCAAAAAAAAAAAAAAAAAACAAATAATAATAATAATAATAATAACATAAATAATCATAACACACAGAAGCAATCATCAGAAGAAGAACAAGAGTAGTCATTTAATAGGAATGGCAGTAATAATATCCATTCTTGTTAGTATTGTAAGACCGAGGGGCTCTAACCCGAGACTCCAACCCCGTTTAGGGCTTGGGGCTTTCGAGCCCCCCCTGAAACCCCTGAAACCCCTCAGACGCCTGCGAAGACCACGAAGCTCGCCCAAAAGGCGCCTTGGACCGACTTTTGTTGGTGAAGCGCGTTGGCCAGTGTAGGGTTCAGGTAGGCTTTGGGGTTTAGGTTTTGGGTGGGGGGGAGGTCCGATCACAACAAGAATGCTGCAGGAATGGACCTGAAAACCGAAACCCTGCACCCGACACTTTCTGGGTTCTTAAGAGCAGGGTCTTGGGGTTTGGGTGTTCAGGGCTTTGGCTTCAAGAGTTTGAGGGTAATAGGGTTCAGGGGCTTGGGGGGCGGGGTTAGGGTTTTTGAGGAATTCGTCGGCGAGCCGCCGTTGTCCACGAAGGCATCTATGCCTGGGCACGGCATCGCGGGCTCAGGAGGTCAGCATCTGCACCCTCGGGAGCCCTTGAAGAGAAATCCTACAGTACAGAACCCGAAGCCCACAAACTAGGCACCCTCAACTGCGAGCCACGACGTCTTGGCCTAAACCCCCCTAAACCCTGAACCCTAAAGCCTAAACCCCTAAACCGAAATACACCCTAAACCCGGAACCCTAAAGCGCCTCTTTAGCAAGGATGGGGCCGGACTAGGAGGGGTAACTTGCAACATGTCCTAAACCCAAGAGTCCAAGAGTATGCAGATTGTGTCCGAGTGTGGTAGACGCCTGTTAATAGCCACCCCCTCCCCCCCAGGTTTCTTTGGTCTCAGCCCATCCTCCAGTTGCGAGGTTCGCGATTCTTGGGCCTTGGGGTTTCTGGGTTTCTCCCTGATTCTGCTTAAGCTTCGCAGGGTTCCGACACTAAAGGATTGTAGCTTTGAGGGGCGATCTAGGGGAACCGATTTTGGGAAGATATCCCTCTAAAAATGTGTGGCAGGAGCCCATCGCCATGACCGGGTGGAGGTCCTAGAGACGACCAACCCCTGCCATGACATACCTCGCAGGATCACCTCCAAGGCTCAAACCAGCTCAAACGATCTTGGGGCCTTGACACCAAGACGCAACAGCAACAAACCCTAAACTCTACCCTAAAACCTAAACCCTCAACCCTAAACCCTAAGCGAGGACCTAACCCCTGAACCCTGGAAACCCCGACGCCCTCGACACTTGAAGCATGGGTGCTGAAGAGCCAGAGGAAGAGCATGGAGAGACTCAGCGGCAGAACCTTGTCCAGGTCCAGCAAGCTTTGGTTTAGGGTTTAGGGTTTAGGGTTTAGGGTTTAGGGCTTAGGGCTTAGGGCTTAGGGTTTAGGGGGTTTAAGGGTTTGGGGGGTTTAGGGGGTTTAGGGGGTTTAGGGGGTTTAGGGGGTTTAGGGGGTTTAGGGGGTTTAGGGGGGTTTAGGGGGTTTAGGGGGTTTAGGGGGTTTAGGGGGTTTAGGGGGTTTAGGGGGGGGGTTTAGGGGGTTTAGGGGGTTTAGGGGGTTTAGGGGGTTTAGGGTTTGGGGGGGTTTGGGGGAGTTTGGGGGGGGTTTTGGACGCAGGTCCAGACTGGCGGGGTGCGTGTCGGGGTTCTTGAGGGCATCCTTGGGCAGCAGCAGAAGGCTCTGACTTTGTGTGCGAGCTCTTCGTGACCCTCAACGAAACCTCGGAACCCCAAACCCCAGACCCTAAGCTCCTACCACAACCGCTACACCAAACCGCCGCCCACCCCCCCTCCTCTCCCTGAACAAGGCCAGGGCATAAAGGCAGATGTCCCAGAGGAGATTTGCCGTCCAGTACCTCTGTATCGGGGTTCTTCGCTGGCAAAACCAGTGTAGTTTCAGGTACGCAAAAGGCTCGAAAACCGGAACAGTTTGATCAACCCTGATATGGAGTTCGTTGTAGAGACTCGGGTTTTCAGGGGGCAGGCAGAAAGCCACACCCAAACCGTGGCAACACATTCAAGCTTCCCACGCGTAAGGTCTGTCTTCTGAAGTGCTGTGATGAGGCGGCGTGCACTTGCAAGTCGGCCTAACCCCTGAACCGGTGGAAGAGCAGGATTCTGAGGTTGGGAGTTCGAAGATCAAGGCAGCGGCAAGCAGGGACATGCCCGGACCCCAAACCCGAGACCCGAATCTTCGAGGAAGCTCAAACATCCTGGGACCCCCCCAAGCCCGAAACCCTATTCACTGACTACCTTGGACCCCTAGGGTTGCACCCTTGGGCTTGGGGACCCTTGTTCAAGATCCTCTCTAGGGAATCTAGGGGCCAGAGTAGGAGCGACATGAAAAAAACCCTCTTCGGGGAACATCCTGAGGGGTCCGAGTGTGACTCCCTTGAGAAGCCCAAGGGAAGCAAGGGGCACGCGAAGACACTGACTCCCGAAATGAGCTGCTGGTGCTTGGAGTTGTGATGCGACTGGCTTCAGGCGGATTTACTGTTACTAGAGCTCAGACTGCAAGGGCCGTAGACCCTAAACCCTAAACCCTGAATCCTAAACCCCACAGCTGCGGGCTTATGTAGGGTTTTAGGTCTTAGGCTTTGGGGCTTCAGGAGTTGTAGGGTGTTCCGAAACTACGACAAGACTTCCATCAGGGCGTATAAAAAAAGGATCTGCAGCAAGGAGCCGAATTGAGAACAACCCAGCTTTATTTTGTCATGGGTCTGTGAAGCCGATTCCTCTTCCAGACGCATGGTAAGTTTTCGACAAGAACACATTGTGGAAGCCTCATTTTGGGCGGGCTGGGTGCGGGGGTAGCCGAGGGTACACAGTCATCTGCATGTTACCAATCCTCAAGAGGATCCAGGCTGGCAGGGCTTGGCTTTCAAGGGCTTGGGAAGTATGAACCAGCGCTTGCTTCTGCTAGGCTCTCTGATAGACCACAAGGATCCCCAAAAGGGAAGGTAGCTGTTTTGGGGGGCTTCATCTCAGCATTTAGGGCATTAGGGTTTCAGGGTAACCCGAACCCCGAAACTCTAGAGGTTTAAACCCTGAACCCTGAACCCTAAACCCCAAACCCTAAACCCTAAACCTACTGCTGCCCGAATCTGCAGGGATTCCTCCCGCTCCCGCACGATGTAGGCCACGATCGCCGGTGGGATCCAGGAGAAGGCGATGATGATCACCTCTAGGGTTAAGGTTTAGGATTTAGGGTTTAGGGTTTAGGACTTAGGGTGTGGGGCTTGGGGCTTAGGGCTCAGGGTTCGGAGTTGCAGATCTAGGGTGTAGGGGCTTGGGGGCTTAGGGGCTGAGGGTTTTTTTTTGAGGGATTTTGGGCGTTTAAGGTTTTGAAAGGCTTTTGAGGTTTTGTTCAGGGCTCAGGTGTTTTGAGGCTTCTATATAAGGTTTGCAAGGTTTTAGGGTTTTTAGGGTGTTGTTTAAGGCTTAGGGTTTAGAAAACACACCCGCAACTCCTAAATGAAGCCAAGTTCAGCCGCTAGCATCGTAAGGATTGATCAGCAATACGCATATCCTAGAGCCTCGTGCTGTGATATAGGATATTATAGCCCGAAACCCTAAACCCCAAACCCCAAACCCCAAACCCTAAACCCTAAGCCCTCAGGGATTTGGAGCTCCCAAGTCGTGTCAAATCCCCCCAAGCCTTCGTGCCCTCGAAGCCTTAGTCGGAAGCCTGGGGCGTTCGGCCCTGAACTTCGTGCCTGTTTTCCTGCACTCACCCAGTTGTGCGGACGTGCAGATAACCAGGAGCACGGTTTCGTGTCCTGCCGCTGTTCTCTCATCTCCCAAAATACCAAAACCAATCAAGTGCTATCACAGCCTTGCTACATCATGAACTGCGAGAACAGGTGGATGGAACCCAGGGCCAAACATCAGGCCTTGGCCTTCGTTTGGATCCTGACTTTCCCAAAACACCTTGTTAAAGGTGAGCTGCGAGTTTTCGCTCACTACCCACTTTAATGGACTTCGCGCCCTTCTGCTGGCCCGGCTTCCGCCGTGAACTTGTTTGTAGCTTCGCATTATTGATGTTGCTAATCCACCATGCTCTTGGTCCTACTTTTGCTTCTACGGTTCACTGATGCTACTGGGACTGCTTCTCCTTCCCCTACTAAGGCTGCTCCAGGCACAACGGCCACGACTACTAGCACTGCAGCCGGTGATGACGCACACGTGTGCTGGCGCTGGTATGTCTGATCCACAGAACAGCTGATCGCCCTACCTCGCCGAGCCAGCCTGAATCGTCGTGCCACCCTAAACCCAAAACCCTAAACCCTAAACCACATTACGCGGCAGTCTGCCGATGTGGGGTAGACTGGTGACACCCGTGTGCTAGGGGAGGAAAAAGCACTGCGGCACTGCAGCCTCCCAACGCTAGAACGAAACCACTGCCCTGTAAGCATGCCAACGGGTTTAGGGTTTAGGGTTTCGGGTTTAGGGTTTAGGGTTTAGGGTTTAGGGTTTAGGGTTTAGGATACCCTAAGGATACCCTAAACCCTGAACTTTGGGAATGAAGCTGCTGAAGATGATCTACGCTGCGATGAGAAAACCACACAGAGAACATACCAGTAATGCCTTCAAGCCTTGTGATCATAGACATCGCAGGTGGACGGTATTGTCTTCCCATCACGCATGCTGAGCTCAGCTAAACCCGGAGCCTTGGCTGGGCTTAGGGTTGAGGGTTTAATCGTCACGGTACAGGGTTTAGGGCTGAGGGTTCCTGGGCAGAACAAACATTACTTGGGTCGGGCAGCCCCAAAACCCTGGCTCTGAATCATATTCTGCCAGATGGTGGTGAGTGCCACAGCAAAGCTACCCTCACTTTCACCGCAGGGCCCAGAGGAGCCTTCGGACCTACATGCGGCTTCGAGTTTAGGATTTGGGTTGACGGGATACATGGGCCTTGGCCACAAGAAGAGTGCTGCGTCGTACATCGTAAATCGCAGGAGCTCTCTCCCTCTCTCTCTCTCTCTCTCTGTGGGCCCTGCTCCTGAAAATGGCTATTCATTTTCGCGCAGAGGCAAGCTCGCCAACAAGAGTGCCGAGTGACGTGTGGCCGTTGCGGAGGTTTAGGGCTCTTTGGGTCAAGGGCTCTTTGGGCTTGGGGGGCTTTGGAGGAGAGTTTAGACTTCAGAGTCGAAGGATTTCGACCGAATTAGGGGTTTTAAGTTTTGGGTTAGAGGTGCGGGGTGTAGGCTTCAGGTCAGTTGAGCAATTGAGTTGTCCCTCAGGATTATACTCTTGTGGCAAGATCCTTGCGCTGACAACCCGCAGGCGCTGCCTGCACATGGAATTCCATGATGGGCTCTCAGAAGCTCAGATACAGCCATGACAGTAGGGGTAAGGTGCTTAGGTTCGGCTTTCGGGTACTGGCTTCTTCTTGCATCGTGTCTCCATGATGCGTCGAGGGCTCTCCAGCAAACAATTCAACAATGTCTTCACCAGCCGCACTTTGCCAAAGTTACTCGTTCTCAGAGAACAGTTCGGGAACTAA